GGATCACGCTGCATAGCCGATGCATCGCCGATGCGTGTCGATGCGGAGCCTGATTTGCGTCGCGCAGACGTCGCCGATGCACCGCCGGCGTCTTTGACGCATCGCTTGTGCATCGCCGATGTTTCGCCGATGTATCGGCGATGCGGCGAGATCCTCCGACCCATCTACTCGGGCCCATCTAGGAGGTGTCTATGCTCCGCCGCCGCAGTCCCCCCTGCGCGTTACAGCGCTGGTCGCCGCGCTGGCCCCCGACGCCATCTACGCCTGGCACACGCCAGCGCGACTGCGCGCCAAATCTGGCTTTCGCAACCACGAGATCGCGGGTTCGATATCGAAAACATGCATCACCTGGGTAATTCAAGCCATCATATGCAATTCGCACCAGCCCTTTAGGGCGTGATTGGTTGACAACGTTTCCCTTTCACCACCGCCCCTTTCCCCTCCTCCTCCTCCTCCCCCTCCTCCTCCTCCTCCTCCTCCCTCCTCCTCCCCCTCCTCCTCTTCCTCCTCCTCCTCCTGGCACAGTCTCCTGGTGGTGGTCGCCAGTGTTCGCAGGGCAGACCCATCCTCCTCCCCCTCCTCCTCCTCCTCCTCCGTCCCCTCCTTCCCCTTCTCCCCCTCCTCCTCCTCTTCCTCCTCCTCCTCTCCGTCCTCTTCCTCTTCCTCCTCCTCCTCCTCCTCCTCCTTCTCCTCCTCCTCCTCCCTCTACTCCTTCTACTCCCTCCCTTCTTCGATGTGTCGGGCCGGACGAATGGAAGGGATTGGGAACAAGGGGGGGGGGTGCGAAATCTGTTGCGCGCAGCTGGCCCCGCCGAAGGGCCCACCCGTCGATGCACAGCCGCCTCTGGCGCCGGGGGGCGCCGGGAAAATCAGCTACGCGAGCTGATTCTCAAGACCCCCCTTTGCTATGCCTTTTGCTATCCCCCCCTTTCGACCAACCCGACTTTGCCGCGTGGGGCGGACGGCGCGCCTTGCCTTTCGGCCTCTCGGCTCCTTTCCTTGCTGAGTCCTGCCGCCAATATCCGTCTGCTCCTCCGCACATCCACCCCTCCGTCTCCTCCCCTCCCCCCCCCTCCCCCTCCTCCTCCTTTTCCTCCTCCTCGACGCCCCCTCCCCCTCATCCTCTCTGCCTATCTTTCCGGTCACGTACCTCCTCCTCCTCATCCTCATCCTCCTCATGTTTTTCCTTTTCCCCCTCCTCTCCTCCCCCTCCCCCTCCTCCTCCTTTTCCTCCTCCTCCCCCTCCCCCTCATCCTCTCCTCCTTTCCTCCTCCTCCTCCTCCTCCTCCTCCTCCTTCAACGCTGGCCGCCGCCGCTCTCTCTCCAGTGGGCCGGACCGGCGGCCAGCTCGGTCTCCCTGGTGCTGGCGCCCTGTTCGTGCACCTGCGCGCCCCTTTGGAGAGATGCGCCGATCCCCCAGAGCGTGCGCCTTGGGCCTTGGCAGACGCGCGGATGTCAAACAATTGTCGTCCTCCTCCTTTTTCTTCTCCTCCTCCTCCTCCTCCTCCTTCTTCTCCTCCTCCTCCTTCTCCTCCTCCTCCTCCTCCTCCCCCCCCCCCCTGCGCCCTTTTTGCCCCGTGCTCCCGCCCCCCATCCTTGGAGATGAGGAACAAAACGCGTCTCAAATGCAACCTCCCGTTTGCTAGAAAGCATCGCGCCGCCAGAACCGCCAAGCGATCTCGTTTGCACCTTCGCCCCCCTCCTGTGCCCACCCCCCTGCCCCCCTGCGCCCCCCCCCGCGCCAGGCCTCCGAGGTCGCGGAGGAGGCCGCTGCGGTCGTCCAGGGCGGCCGCGCCGCGCGCCGCCGCGCGGCGCGGGCCGTGCGGCGGCGGCGGCGGCGGCGCGTCGTTGGCGGCGGCCGCAGCAGCAGCGGCGGCGACGACGACGCGACCGCGAGCAAGCGTTGCCCCCTCCGGCCTCCAGGGGCCTTCAATAATTTCGGGGGCTTCCGGGGACCTGGATCTGGGGGGGGGCAGCGCTTGCCGAGCGTCGTGGTCGTCGCCCCCTGAGATCCGTGCCCGACGGGCCCCGCAAGTCAAAATCCAGGGAAAAGCGCCTGACTGAAAACATCACATCCTCGGATCTCTAGGTCGTCGTCGTCGTCGTCGTTTTTGACCCGCGGCCCCAGAGGTTCCGCCCCTTCGCCGGGAGTGGTTTTTCGCCCCTGAACCCTTTTCAATGGCCCCCAGGCCCGACGACGGGCCCCGCGTGCCGAAATCCAAGAACGAACCTCCCGACTGAAAAAATCACATCCTCGGATCTGTGGGTCGTCGTCGTCGTCAACGTCGTTTTCAATCCGCGGCCCCAGAGGTCCCGCCCTCTCCCTGGGAGTGTTTTTTCGCGCGGAAGCCCCTTTCGATGGCCTCGGGCCCGACGACGGGCCCCGCGTGCCGAAATCCAAGAAAAAACGCCACACGGAAAAAAAAACACGTCCTCGGATTTCTGGGCTGTCGCGATCGTCTCCCCAGGAGTGGTTTTTCGCCCTGGGGCCATTTTCGATGGCCCCTGGGCCCGACGACGGGCCTCGAAGTCCAAAACTCAGAAGAAACAACAAATATGGAAAACACACACATCCTCGGATCTCTGGGTCGTCGCGTCCTCCTTCCTCCTCCTCCTCTTCCTCCTCTTCCTCCTGCTCCTCCTTCTCCTCCTTCCCCTCCTCCTCCTGTTTCTTCTCCTCGTAGTCGTCTTCTTCTTCTTAATGTTCTTTTTCTTATGTTTCTTCTTCCTCCTCCTCCTCCTCCTCCTCCCCCTCCTCTCCCTCCTCCTCCTCCTCCTCCTCTCCTCCTCCTCCTCCTTCTCCTCCTCCTCCTCCTCCCCCCTCCTCCTCTCCTCCTCCCTCCCCCTCCTCCTCCTCCTCCCCCTCCACCTCCTCCTCCTCTCTGTCCCTCCTCCTCTTCCTCCTCCTCCTCCTCCTCCTCCTCCTGCTCCCCGTCCTCCTCCTCCTCCTCCTCCTCCTCCTCCTCTTTCCCCTCCTCGCCCCCTCGTCCACCTCCTGTTTCTCCTCCTCGTCGTCGTCGTTGTCGTCGGTTGTCGTCCGCTGCCGTCCGTCGTCCGTCCGTCCGTCCGTCCGTCCGTCCGTCCGTCGTCGTCCGTCGTCCACGTCGTCTATCATCGTCGTCGTCCTTCGTCGTCGTCGTCCGCCATCGTCGTCGTCCGTCGTCGTCGTCGTCCACCGTCGTCGTCGTCCGTCGCTGTCCGTTGTCGTCGTCGTCGTCGTCGTCCGTCGGTCGTCGCCCGTTCGTCGTCGCTGTCGCCCGTCGTCGTCGCCCGTCGTCGTCGTCGTTGTCGTCCGTCGTCGTCGTCGTCCATCATCGTCGTCGTCGTCGCCCCTCTTTGAATTCGTCGTCGTCGTTGTCGTCCTCGCCGTCGTCGTCATCCGCCGTCGTCGTCCGTCGTCGTCGCCCGTCGTCGTCGTCCGTCGTCGTCGTCGTCGTCGTTGTCGTCGTCGTCCGTTGTCGTCGTTGTCGTCGTCGTCCGTCGTCGTCGTCGTCGTCGTCGTCGCGTCGTCATTGTCGTCGTCCGCGGTCGTGGTCGTCTGTAATCATCGGTGTCCGTCTGTGGTCATCGGTGTCCGTCGTCGTTGTCGGTGTCCGTCGCGTCGTTCGCCCGTGGTCGTGGTCGTCGGTGTCCGTCGTCGTCGTCGTCGGCGTCCGCCGTCGTCGTCGACGTCGTCGTCGTCGTCTTCTCCTCCTCCTCCTCCTCCTCCTCCTCTTCCGTTTCTTCCTCCTTCTTCTCCTCCTCGTTTTTCTTCTGGCTGACATGCTTTTGCCCGCGGCCGTCGAGGATCGAGGCAGGGCGTTTTCGGGCGTTTTCGGTGAACTTTGGCCGTCGTCGGCTTCCTGGAGCCCAGGGGCCTACTGGGGCTTCGCGGGGGGCGCTGCCTGGCTAGCCCCGACATTGCCCTGGCGCGGCTCCCATGCCGCGCCTTTGCGCACAACGAGTTTGGAGAATTTGTCGCCCCCTGGCTCCCAGCAGCTCCCTCTAAACAACGGCCAGAGGAGGAGGAGTCGGAGGAAGGAGGACTCGTTGCCCGCGGTTCTCCGCCGGGACATTGCAACGGGGAATCCCCGTTCCACGCCGCTGCCTCGGTTTTGGCATCTCGGATCTTGGGGCCCTGTCAGAGATCAAGCCATATTGGCGACGCCTTAAGCCGTCTGGAGGTGCCTGGAGCCATCTTGGAAGTGTTGGAAGCCTCCTGGCATATTTTGGGGCAGTCTTGGGCTGTTTCGGGGCTCGCTTGGGGTGCTCTTAGGCCATCCAGGCGCCCTCTTGAGCGGCTCTGAGCGTTCTTGGACAGTCTTGGAGCCTTCTGGCGGCCGTCCAGGGCAGTCCAGAGCCTCCCCAGGAGCCCCAGCGACCGTCTAGGGTCGCCTTGGGATCTTGGGGAGCCGCCCCGGGCCGAGATGCGCCGGTGCAATCTCGCACGCGCTGATTCCAGTATTGCCCCCACCAATTCTGAATCTCGCCATCACTCGGACGTCCATTCCCCTTGCATTTTTCGATGTCGTGCGTTCCAATTGTTCCTTCAAAAAATGATCCAATATGCTCCTCGATGGCCCTCGCTGAAAAAAGTGCACACGTCCGAGCGATGCCAAGTAATGGGATCGCCCCCCCCCGATGGATCCCCCCCTCTGTGGGTATGGTGTGGTGCTGAGGTGCCGCCCCCCTGTGGGTGTGGTTTGGTGCTGTGATGCTCCATTGGGCGGGAGAGATGCAGCTTGCCAGCACACGGGGCGGTGGCCTCCACGAGAGGTCCAGAGGTCCTCGTCGTCCTCGTCCTCGTTGTCGTTTTCGACATCGTCGTGCTCGTCGTCGTCGTCCACGACAGCGTAGTGCTCGTCGTCGTCGCTGTCCTCGTCGCCGCCGCCGCCGCCACCCTCGTCGCCCTCGTCATCGTCGACATCGTCGTCGTCGTGGTCGTCGTCAACGTCGTCGTCGTCGCCGTGCCCCCATCCCATCTTTCGGGGGGGCGCGCGGACCTCGAGCTCGGGAGCATAGATAACGTCTGGCTTCAGCCTCGTCTCCCACATCTCGCTCAGCAGCGCCAGAGCCCGCTGCCACTGCTCGCCCTGTGCGCACGCGATGATCCCAGCGCTGCAGCTGGTGATGTCGGATCCCAGCATCGCCTCCCACATCTCGCTCAGCAGCGCCAGAGCCCGCTGCCACTGCTGGCACTTCCCGCAAGCGCTGATCCCAGCGGTATAGCTGATGGCGTTGGGCACTAGCTTCGCCTCCCACATCTCGCTCAGCAGCGCCAGAGCCCGCTGCCACTGCTCGCCCTTGTCGCAGGCGCTCATCCCAGCGCTGTAGCTGACTAGGGCTGGACCCGTGGCCTACCAGCCACGAAATCTGTCTGAGATGGCACGCGGGACCAGGGCAGAGATGTTTCCGAAAGACTTTCGTGGTGACGTTGGGCCCGAACTGCGCCTCTGGCGCTGCTGCCTGCAGCTGCAGGGTGCTGCCGCCTGCGGAATGGTGCTGCTCCTGCGAACCTGGGCTGTGTGCTGCCGCCGTTTGCTGCGGAGTGCTTCCGTTCGCTGCTGCCACTAGAGGCCAGAAGGTTCTGCTTGCTGGCAGCCTTGCCAGCTGTCGCAAGTGGCAGCCTGCCAGCTGAGCAACGAGCGAGGAGTCAGGTATGAGGGAGGGAGGATGCCAGGAGCGATCAGCGAGGAGCAAGGAGCAAGGAGTGAGAAAGGAAGCCACGTTGGAAGAGAGAAGAGAGAGAAGAGAGAGGCGAGGAGCGATGAGGGATAGCCGAAGGAGGGAGGAGGCAGACGCCAGTAGTCTAGAGTGGGAAGGGTGGGGGCCAGGAGAGAGGTGGGAAGAGCGAGGGGGAGCGAGAAGGGAGAAGCCAGGAGCGAGGAGCGAGAGGCAGGTAAGCAAGAAAAGAGCGGCGACGAGCGAGAAACGTGGAGCAAGTAGGGAGAAGGGGAGCACGAGAAGAGGCCAGCACACGAATGCCGCAATGGCCTCGGCGCGTGTGCGGCCGAACATCTGGTCTTCTCCAGGGTCGCCGACGGGGCTCTCCTGGGTGGTCGGTGCGGCCCCAGCACTCTCTAAGGGACCTTCCCTCGGAAGCCTCTGTGCGGCGGCTTCTGCGGTGTCTTGGGCCCCTCGGGGCCCTCTTGGGCCTGACTTGGGCCTCGTGCGGGCCTCCTGGCGCTTCTAGGAGGGGGGGCTCTTCGGGGTCTGCTGGCCGTCTCGAGCGCCATCTTGGGGCGGAGGGTTCCAAATGCCAGTTCCCGGATCCCCCTCTTGGGGCCCTCTTGGGTCCCTCTCGGGGCCGACTTGCAGCTCTCCTGGGCTGCCTGGGGGCCCTCTTGGAGGCCTGTTGGGCCACCTCGGGGCGAGGTGTGGGGCCGCTTGGCCATCATTAGCATCCGGAGCTCGAAAAGGCGAAACGTCGACATCCTTCAAAAACTGATCGGAAATCGGTGTCGGGCACTCTTCAGGGGCCTCTCTCTTGGGACTTTCGCAGGCCGTCTTGGGGGCCCCCTGTGCCGTTGGGGCCGTCTTGGAAGCCTCTTCGGCCGTCTTTGGGCTCCGCTGGGCCGTATAGGAGACGTGGCCCAAGGCCCGCAGGGCTGTCGGAGTTCCCCCGAGAGCGCTTTTCTGCCTCCCGGGCATGTCTGAAGGAGAGGTAACCTGACGAAAGACCCAACCACATGCAGCTGCGAGTACCGAATTGTGCTTACCGATTTCGGTGGAGCTCCTTATGGGGTCACGAACCGTGTGAGGGGCGTGCCGAATTTGGCGCGGTGGTGCCATGCGAACCCTCCCAGTGGAGCCTTCGGTGGAATATATTTTGGGCCCACGAAACGTGTGATGGGGGTGTACCGACTTGGGCGCGGTGGTGCCATGCGAATCCTCCCGCTGGAGCCTTCGGCGGAACTCCCTATGGGGCCAGGAACAGTGTGAGGGGTGTGCTGGATTGGGCGCGGTGGCGTCATGCGAATGGTCCCACTGGAGCCTTCACTGGAAATCCCTGTGGGGCCACGAAGCGTTGCCATGCGAACCCTCCCAGTGGAGCCTTCGGTGGAATATATTTTGGGCCCACGAAACGCGTGATGGGGGTGTACCGACTTGGGCGCGGTGGTGCCATGCGGTGGTGCCATGCGTACCCTCCCTCTGGAGCCTTCGGCGGAACTCCCTATATGGCCAAGAACAGTGAGGGGTGTGCTGGATTGGGCGCGGTGGCGTCATGCGAATCGTCCCACTGGAGCATTCACTGGAACTCCCTGGAGCCACGAAGCGTGTGAGGGGTGTGCCGACTTGGGCACCGTGGTGCCATGCGAACCCTCCCATTGGAGCCTTCGGTGGAGCTCCCTATGGGGCCACGAATGGTGTTAAAGGTGTGCCGAAATGGACATGCGGCAGGCGGGAAGGGCGCATGCGGGCGCGGCCACTGGGGCCTTCGGTGGAGCCCCCAATAGGGGCCACGAAGCGTGTGGGAGGCGTGCCGAAATGGGCATGCGGTGGTCGATGGAGCTCCCTGTGAGGCCACAAACCGTGTATGGGGTGTGCCGACATGGGCATGCGAAAGGCGGGGAAGGCGCATGCGGACGCGGCCACTGGGGCCTTCGGTGGAGCTCCCTCTGGTGCCACGAACCGTGTGACGATTGTGCCGAAATGGGCATGCGGTGGGCGGGGAGGGCGCATGCGGACGCGGCCACTGGGGCCTCCGGTGGAACTCCTTTATCGGGCCACGAACCGTATGAAGGGTCTGGGCGGGGAAGCGCATGTGAACGCGGCCGCTGGGGCCTTTGGTGGACATCCCTGTGGGACCACAAACCGTGTGAGAAGTGTGCCGAAATGGGCATGCGGTGGGCGGGGGCAACGCATGCGGACGCGGCCGCTGGGGCCTTCGGTGGAACCCCCAATGGTGCCACGACCCGTGTGACGATTGTGCCGAAATGGGCATGCGGTGGACGGGGAGGACGCATGTGGACGCGGCTTTTGGGCCTTCGGTGGAGCTCCCTGTAGGGCCACGAACCGTGCGAACGGTGTGCCGACATGGGCATGCGAAAGGCGGGGGGGGGGCGCATTCGGACGCAGCCACTGGGGCCTTCGGTGGAGCGCCCTCTGGTGCCACGACCCGTGTGACGATTGTGCCGAAATGGGCATGCGGTGGGCGGGGAGGGCGAATGCGGACGCGGCCTTTGGGCCTTCGGTGGAGCCCCCAATGAGGCCACGAAGCGTGTGACGATTGTGCCGAAATGGGCATGCGAAAGGCGGGGAGGGCGCATGCGGACGCGGCCACTGGGGCCTTCGGTGGAGCTCCCTCTGGTGCCACGACCCGTGTGACGATTGTGCCGAAATGGGCATGCGAAAGGCGGGGAAGGCGCATGCGGAAGCTGCCACTGGGGCCTTCGGTGGAGCTTTCTACGGGGCCAGGAGCCGTATGAGGGGCGTGCCGACATGGACATGCGGTGGGCGGGGAGGGCGCATGCGGACGCGGCCATTGGGGCCTTCGGTGGAGCTCCCTATGGGGCCACGAACCTTGTGTGGGGCGATGGTGGTGATGACGGCGTTGATACGAAGCCGATGATGATGATGACGAGAAGGAGGATGAGGGCGATGATGATGATGACGATGACGATGATGGCGGTGGCGTTGATGATGATAAGGATGATGGCGGTGCGGGCGCCGGCAGCCCGCAGGCGGGCTGCCAGGTCCGCCGGCGGCCCCCGGGACAGAAAGTCGAGGCCAGGATCGCGGATCGTCCGGATGTTGTCCGACGTCGTCGCCTTCGAGAGCATGACGTACAAAAGGAGCCAAAAACCGTCCAGGTCTTCAGCGCCTTTATACCCGGCGTCAACGATGACGCCTTGGTGCAAGGTCCTGCCCTGGCACGCCGTCGACGTGAGCACCTGGGCGTGCAAGATCTGCAGTCGTGTGCGCGTCCCTTTAATACGGCATTCTGCTGTGATCCGAGAAGCCCACGAAAGCGGCGACTGTGTCGCACATCGCAGCCCCCAAGGGACGGCGAGGTCTCATGGCGATCCCGGTAAGACGTCACCCTGCTGGTCCTAGCAGGAGCTCACGAAAGTGGCGGCGAGGTCTCATGGTGATCCCCGTAGGACATCACCCTCCTGGGCCTCCCAGGAGCCCACGAAAGTGGCCACAGTGTCGCAGATCGCAGGACCCCCGGGACGGCGAGGTCTCATGGTGATCACCGTAAGACGTCACCCGTCTGGGCTCCCCAGGAGCCCCTGGAGCCCACGAAAATCGCGACAGTGTCGCAGATCGCAGCCCCCCCAAAGACGGCGATGCCTCATAGTGATCCCCGTAGGAAGTCACTCTGCTAGGCTTCCCAGGAGCCCACGAAAGTGGCGACAGCTCAGCAGATCGCAGCACCCCCAGGGACGGCGAGGTGTCATGGTGATCCCCGTATGTGTCACTCTGCTGGACCTCCCGGGAGCTCACGAAAGTGGCGACAGCTTCGCAGATCGCAGCCCTCCAGGGACGGCGAGGTCTCATGGTGATCCCCGTAAGACGTCACTCTGCTGGGATTCCCAGGAACCCACGAAAGTGGCGACAGCTTTGCAGATCGCAGGACCCCCGGGACGGCGAGGTCTCATGGTGATCCCCGTAGGACGTCACTCTGCTGCGCTTCCTAGGAGCCCACGAAAGTGGCGACAGTGTCGCACATCGCAGCCCCACAGGGACGGCGAGGTCTCATGGTGACCCCCCGGGACGTTACTCTGCTGGGCCTCACAAGAGCCCACGACAGGGGCGACAGCTTAGCAGATCGCAGTTCCCCAGGGACGGCGAGGTGGCATGGTGTTCCCCGTAGGACGTCACTTTGCTGGGCTTCCCAGGAGCCCACGAAAGTGGCGACAGCTCAGCAGATCGCAGCACCCCCAGGGACGGCGAGGTCTCATGGTGATCCCCGTAGGACGTCACTCTGCTGCTGGGCGACAGCTTCGCAGATCGCAGCCCCCTCTCACGGTGATCCCCGTAGGACGTCAATGGCGACAGCTTCGCAGATCGCAGCCCCAACAGGGACGTAGGACGTCAGCTGTCTCGACAGGTGATCTCCCGTAGGACGTCACTCTGCTGGGCCTCACAGGAGCCCACGAAACGGTGGTAGGACGTCACTCTGCTGGGCCTCACAGGAGCCCACGAAAGTGGCGACAGCTTCGCAGATCGCAGCACCCCCAAGGACGGCAAGGTCGCATGGTGATCCCCGTAGGACGTCACTCTGCTAGGCTTCCCAGGAGCCCACGAAAGTGGCGACAGCTTAGCAGATCGTAGCACCCCCAGGGACGGCGAGGTCTCATGGTGATCCCCGTAGGACGTCACTCTGCTGGGCCTTCCAAGAGCCCACGACAGGGGCGACAGCTTCGCAGATCGCAGCCCCCCAAGGACGGTAACGTCTCACGGTGATCCCCGTAGGACGTCGATCTGCTGGGCTTCCCAGGAACCCACGAAAGTTGCGGCAGCTGCGCAGATCGCAGCCCCAACAGGGACGACGAGGTGTCATGGTGATCCCCGTAGGACGTCACCCCGCTGGGCCTCACAGGAGCCCACGAAAGTGGCGACAGTGTCGCATATCGCAGGCCACCAGGGACGGCGAGGTCTCATGGTGATCCCTGTAGGACGTCACTCCGCTGGGCTTCCCAGGAGCCCACGAAAATGGAAACAGCTGCGCAGATCGCAGCCCCCCAGGGACGGCGAGGTCTCATGGTGATCGCCGTAGGACGCCACCCCGCTGGGCTTCCCAGGAGCCAGCGAAAATGGAAACAGCTTCGCAGGTCGCAGCCCCACAGGGACGGCGAGGTCTTGTAGTGATCCCCGTAGGACGTCGACCTGCTAGGCTTCCCAGGAGCCCACGAAAGTGGCGACAGCTTAGAAGATCGCAGCTCCCCCGGGGATGGCGAGGCCTCATGATGATCCCCGTAGGACGTCACTCTGCTGGGCCTCGCAGGGAAACACGAAAGTTGCGACAGTTTCGCAGATCGCAGCACACCCAGGGACGGCGAGGTGTCACAGTGGTCCCCGTAGGACGTCACTCCGCTGGCCCCCCTCCCAGGAGCCCACGAAAGCGGCGACGGTTTCGCGGATCGCAACCGCCCAGGGTCGGCAGGGAGGAGGCAGGCAGGAGGAGAAGGAAAAGGAGGAGGAGGAGGAGGAGGAGGAGGAGGAGGAGGAGGGGGAGGAGGAGGGGGGAGGGCAAGCTAGGTGCGCTCGCGTCATATCTGACATCCTAGCCCTCCCTCCCATCCCTTACCATGGCGCAGATCCCCTCTCTACTCGCACAGTCGGATGTCGAGCAGGGCAATGATCCCGAAAGGGTACGCGATGCATTGTAGAGCACGGCGTGGCATGGCGTAGAAGAGCACCGCAAAGCGTAGCATCAACCTAGCATTGCATTACACGCCGTGGCATGGCACGGGAAATGACGCCAGCGCTGCAGCGGGAGCACGAGTCGAAACGAGCAGAAGCGCGGAAATGAGGCCAGCGCTGCAGCGGGAGCACGATTCGGAACGAGCGGAAGCACGGAAATGAGGCCAGCGCTGCAGCGGGAGCACGATTCGGAACGAGCGGGGCCCGAAAATGAGGCCAGCGCCTCAGCGAGAGCAGCATGTTGGAAACAAGTGCAGGCGAAAACCAAACTCCTGGGAAACCTGTGTGTAAAAAAACAGTGCGCGGGGGGGGGTCGGACACTTTCAAACCGTCATCAGGGGAAGAGGGAGAGTAGTATTCATATTGAGTAATTGTGGAGGAGGAGGGGGGATGAGAAGAGGAGGAGGAGGACGAGGAGGAAGAGGAAGGAGAAGAAGGAGAGGCGGGAGGTCGGAGAGCACAGTGCTCTGTTCAAAACGAAAACCCAACACAGGCGGGTTGGGCAAAGACACTGGTGCACAAAATCTCTTCGCACGCGGAGGTTCCGGCATTCTAGAGGAGGTGACGTTGGGCTTCAGCTTCGCCTTCCGCATCTCGCTCAGCAGCTCCAGAGCCGCCTGCCACTGCTCGCCCTTCTCGCACGCACTGATCCCAGCGCTGTAGCTGACTAGGGCAGACCTGTGGACTCCGTCCACGACATCAGCTCGACGTAGCGAGGGGTCTCTGGGCAAGCGCGGGGGGGTGCGGCTGCAGGGCCGAAAGGCAATCATGATGCCTGTCGCCTCTCGTCCGCTCCCCCGCTCCTGGAGGGAATTCTGAAGCCACTGAAGGCTTCGTGGGGGCCGTTTCGGAGCCTCTTCGGCCTTCTTTTGGGCCTCCTGGGGGGGCTCTTAGGGCCCTCTCGAACCGTCTTGGGTGCCTCTTGGGCCGTCTTGGGGCCGTCTGAGGCCCGCCTGGGCGCCTCTTGGGCTGTCTTGGGCCGTCTTGGGCCGCTCTTGGGGCCGTCTCGGGTGCCTCTTGGGCCGTCTTGGGCGCCTCCTGGGCCGTCCTGGGGCCGTCCTGGGGCGTCTTGGGACCGTCTTGGGGCCCTCCTGGCCCGCCTTGGGGCTCTCTTGGGGTCCTCTGCGGCCGTCTTGGAGCGGTCGGGGGGACTTCTGGGGCCGTCTTGGAGCGTCGGGAAGCCGAAGAGGCGAGGAGGCCGAAAACATCGAAAAACACAATAGAAATCGACGATTTCTGTCGCTCGGGGCCCTCTTGGGAGGCCTCTTCGGGCGTCTTGGACGCCTCTTGGGCCGTCTGGGGCGAACCTCGGGCGTCTTGGGCCCACCTTTAAGCGTGCCGGGGCTCTCCCGGGCCGTCTTGGGGGCTTCTGGGGGCCCTCTTGACGTGTCTTGGGGCCTCCCTGGGCGGCCCGGGGCCAGCCCGGGGCGGTTTCGGTGCATTGGGGCCTGCGCCATTCTGGCACGCACTGGGCCCTGCAATGTAGTAGAGACTAGGGCTGACCCGCGGCCTTCCGGCCGCGGAATCTGCCCGCCATGGCTTGGACGTGGAAGTGGAGCGTCTCTGGGGCCTCGCGAGTAAGGGGAGGTTGGAGGGGACGGTGTGGATGGAGGAGGTGGCCGCTGGAGGGGGAGGTGGGCGAGGGATGCAGGCAAGCAGGCCTGAAGGCAGGAACGCGGTGGTGGAGGCGGTGTCAATGGAAGCGCACCCATGTAGGCATGACAGCTGTTTCTGACGCCGCAGTCTGTGTTCATCATAGCTTCTGCGGGGAGGGCAGTCGTGAGAAGTTATCTGCTCTTCGCCGGGGCCGAATGATAATTTGATGTGGTAGTGTGGTAACAATGGGGCCAGTGGGCGCGGCCTAGGAGGCCCGCAAGAGGGCGGCGAGACGTAACTCCCTAAGACGGGCCCCAGTGCGAGGACACGAATCGACCTTTCGAGCGCATCGCCCCAAGACGTCCCCAAATGGCGCAGAGATGGCTCGCAGTGGGTCCAAGAAGCCCCCAAGACGATACTGGAAGTTCGACGCTCCCCAAGAGAGAAGCATCCAACGCCTCTTGGGGGCCGCTTGGGGGCCCTTTTCGTCCTCCTGGGGGTCTCTTGAAGCCCTCTTGGGCAATCTTGAGTGCGTCTTGGGCCGTCTTGGGGCGATGTGGGGCCGTCTTGGACGCCTCTCGGCATCTTGGGACAGTCTTGGAGCTATCGTGGGCAAATTTTGGGCGCTCTTGGGGTTGTCTTTGGTGTTTCTTGAGCCGTCTCGGGCGCCTCTGGAGCCGTCCCTGACGGCCCAGAGACCGTCTTGGAGACTGTCCAAACGGAAAGGCGTGGAGACGATGGTGGGGGCATCTACAGCCGTCTTGGAGACGGGGCGGTGGGGCCGTCTTGGGCCATTATTGACTGATCTTGGGGCTGTATTGGGTGCGTCTTGGGCCGTCTCGGGGCCCTCCTGGGGCCCTCCTGGGAAGCCTCTTCGGCGTCTCTTGGGCCGTCGTAGAGGCGTCTTGGGCCGTCTTGGCGCCGCAAAAGGCAGTCTTGGCTTGTCGTGGAGCGCTCTTGGAGCGTCTTGGGGATACCTTGGGGCCGTCCTGGGAGCCTCTTGGTGTCACCCTGGGGCCGTTGTGGGCGCCTCTTGGGCTCTCTTGACGCCCTCTCGGGCCGGTTTTCGTGCGTCTTGGGGGCCTCTTGGGCCATCTTGGGGCGGTCGTGGGGACCTGGAACCAGCTTCTGCGCCATATTCCCGTGAAGCAGCGCATGCTGGAAGTGAGCGTTTTTCTTCGGGGAAACAATGAGTTTCGCCTCTGGGGGCCATCCTTGGACGCCTCTTGGGCGTCTCTGGGGCCGTCGTGGAGGCGTCCTGGGCCGTCTTGGGTTTGTTTTCGGCGGTCTTGGGCTCTCTTGGAGCGCTCTTGGGCCGTCTTGGGGGAGTCTGGGGCCGTCCTGGGCGCCTCCTGGGAGCCTCTGGGGGCCGCCTGGGGGCCGTGTTGGGCGCCTCTTGGGTCTCTGGACGCTCTCGCGGGCCTGTTTTCGTGCCTCTGGGGGGCCTCTTGGGCCGTCTTGGGGCGGTCGTGGGGGCCTCTTGTCCCATCTTTTGCGCCATACTCCCGACAAGCAGTGCGTGCTAAAATTTGATGTTTTTCGTTGGAAAAACAATGATTTGATCCTGGGACGCCTCTTGAGCGTCTCTGGGGCCGTCGTGGAGGCCTCCTGGGCCTTGTCGGGACCGTTTTCGGCGGTCTGGAGCTCTCTTGGAGCGCTCTTGGGCCGTTTTTGGGGTGTCTGGGGCCGTCCTGGGCGCCTCTGGGGCCGCGTGAGCGCCTCTGGGGCGTCCCTGGAGCCGTTGTGGGGCATTTTTCGCCCATCAAGACAGGGACCCTTCCCGCACGCACGGGTCCCTGCATTGTAGAGAAGACTAGGGCTGACCTGTGGACTCCGTCCACGACATCTTTCTGTAATGGTTCTCGGAGGAACGGCGGAGATTTTGCCGAAGGCCAATAAGCACGGCGGCGGCCGGGGCGGAGGCAGCCAAACTGAAGTCTCACGGGGATGTGCGTCAAAATTGAAGCCCATCTGAGGCGTCTCGTGAGCGCCTGGGGAAGGGCTCGGGAGGCCCTCGGGGAAAGCCACCGGGAGCGCCGGGGAGTCTTGCCAGGATCTCTTCGGGCGCTTTTGGGCCATCTTGGAACCCTTTTGGCCCGTCTAGGACCTCTCTTGGAAGTTTGAGGCACTAGGAGCCGTCTGGAGCAGTTCTTGGGGCGAAGTTGGGAGATCCTGAGAGTCAGTCAACGACTATGGGAAATCTTCGATTCGGGCATCGTGGGGCCGTCAGTCATCCAGGTCCTCTTGGCCGTCTTGGAGGGCCTCCTGGCTCGCGTTGGGGCCGTCTTGGGCCATTCTGAGGCTCGCTTCGGGCTCTCTGGGACCACCTGGGCTTGGGCCGTCGTTGGACGTCCTGGAGCCTTCCAGCGGCCGTCCAGCGCCGTCCGGGGTCGCCCCAGGGGCACCGGGTCGCCCCTGGAGCGCCGGGAGCCGCCCCGGCCTGCTGCCGCTGCAGCGCCATCTCGCGCGCGCGGGCCCGAGCTTGGTGGTACAGGTGACGTCGGGCAGCAGCTTCGCCTCCCGCATCTCGCCCAGCAGCGCCAGAGCACGCTGCCACTGCCCCCCCTTCTCGCACGCGCTGATCCCAGCGCTGTAGCTGACTGGTGCGTGCCCGTGGTGTGCCCACGGCAGACAGGTCAGAGTGTGGGCCCCGAGCGCGAAGATGTCGCCGACGCGAGGAGCAGAAGAGGGGGGGACAGCGGCACCAGAGAGATGGGGGGAGGCTCCCAGAGGCAGATAATGAGGAAGCGAAGAAAGAACTCGGGCCTCCTCCTCCTCCTCCTCCGCCTCCTCCGTCCTCCCCCATCCGTATGTTCCAGTTGGCGCAAGGTGGCTGGTCCTCTCCTGTTCCAAGATCGGTGAGAAGTGTTTTGCGCCGGCCTCGTTCGGAGTCTGGGGTTTCCTCCAGGGTGTCGCCCCCATCGCCCAGAGGTGGACGGGGGGGGGACGAGGCCTCCTGCTGGTGTGTGCGGGGGGGAGAGGAGGAGGGTGAGGGGAAAGAAGGCAAGCAGAAGAAGGACAGCGACAACGGAGAGAGGGATGTAGAGGCACCAAAGAGTAGTAGGAGGAGGAGGAACGGGAGGAGGAGGAGGAGGAGGAGGAAGAGGAGGAAGAGGAGGAAGAGGAGGAGGAGGAGGCGGAGGAGGAGGAGCAGAGAAGAGCGGAGAGCAGGGAGCGAGGCTTTCTTGGGCGTGCTTGGGGTTCGGGGTTCTCTTTGGGACCTCGAGTGATCCAGGACTGGCAAAGATGCTGGGGTTCGAGGCTCTCGTGGGAGCCCCTTGGCAGCTATCAGAGCCTCTTGGGAGGCCGCGGGGCTTCTAGGAGTGATACGGGGCCATTGTGCGGTCTTGGGCTTCCTTTCTGGGGCGCCCGCGCAGTGCAGGAACGACGGAATGTGCGGGGGCTGGAGTCTCTCCTGGGAGCTCCTTGGCAGCTGCCGGAGTCTGTCCGGAGGCCGCAGAGCACCTCGGCGCAGTCCTTCGTCGACAACTCGTGGGGGCCTCGTGGGCCGCCCGAGGGTCCCGAAACGGCAACAAAAGGTGATGGGGCCGGAGGCTCTCCTGGGAGCTCCTTGGCAACGTCGGACTCTGAGGGGAAGCTCCAAGGCATCTCGGGGCAGTCCTTCTTGAACAACTAGTGGTGCCCGCTTGGACCCCATTGGGGGGCCCTCCTGGGCCATCCTGGGGCCCTCTTGTGCCGTCTTGGGGGCCTCCTGGGCCATCTTGGGGCCGTGGTGGGGGTCTGGTGTTGTCTGGGGGCCCTCTTGGGCAGCTCCTGGGGCGTCTTGGGGGGCCACCTGAACTCTGTTAGGCCGTCTGGGGCCTGTCGTGGGCCAGCTGGGGATCCTCTTGGGCCGTCTTGGTGCGCTCGTCGGGGCCTCTTGGGCCATCCTCGGGCGATCGCAGAAGCGCCTGGAGCCGCGTGGGGACGTTCTGTTCTGGTCGTCGGGAGAAGGCAAGAGAACAATAGACCGAAAACCTGAGGTTCTTGCTTGATGTTTGGCCTCGGGGGGCCGTCATCACAGGCATCCTGGGCCCTCTTGGGACGTCCCGGGGACCTGGGGCTGCGCGGGAGCCAGGTGTGGGCCCTTGGGCAGCTCCTGGGGCGTCTTGGGGTGCCACTTGAAGCACTGCTAGGCTCTCCGAAGCCTGTTCTGGGCCGTCTTGGGGCCCTCGTGGGCCGTCTTGGTAGGCTCGTGGGGGCCGCTTGGGTCATGTCGGTGCGATCTTGGAAGGACCTGGAGCCGTTTGGGGTCGTTCTGGGCCCATCTTGGGTAGAGATAATGTGTAAATTCAAACAAACAAAAAACGTAAACGGCTTTTGCATGCTTTTTCGGCTCGTGGGTCCTCGCAGGCCGTGTGTTGGGCCTCCTGGCGAGCTGTTGGGGCACTCTTGGGCCGTCCTGGCGCCATCTGGAGCGTCGCAGAGCAGTCTTGGGGCCGTCTGAGGCCGTCTCGAGGCCATCTGGCGACTCTCTGAGCCCGTCGGGGAGCGTCCTGGGAGGGCGTCCGGGGGATGCTCTGGGCGCTTGAGGACGCTCCGCAATGGTTTCTGCGGAACGTACCTCTCGCACGCGCCGCCACTAGAGTTGTAGTGCATACGACGTCGGGCTCCAGCTTCACCTTCCGCATCTCGCTCAACAGGGCCAGAGCCCGCTGCCACTGCTCGCCCTTCTCGCACGCGCTGATCCCAGCGTTGTAGCAGACTGGTGCATACCTGTGGCGTGATTACTGCTATCGACGTTGAGGGGGGCAGTGCTTGTATGGCGTGCCTCCACAAGCAAGTGGCGTCACTCCACTTGCGTTCGGCCTCTCTTGGGATCCACTTTTGAAGCCGCTCTGAAGGCCCTTCTGGGGCCTCTTCGGGCCTGCTTGGGCCTACCCTGGGGCTTCAGGCGGGTCTTAGGCGGCGCATGAGAGCGCTCCGAGAGTGCCCCAAGTGGGCCCGGAGAGAATCCATAAGCAAGTGGAGTGACGCCACTTGCTTCTGGGCCATCTTGGAGGGCTAATGGAGCTCTCTGGGGGTCTCCCTTTGAAACCTCTCGGGTCCCTCTCGGAGTTACTCTGGGGCCCGATCCTGCCTACCCTGCGGCTCGGAGAGCGCGACCAGTGCCCCAAGTGGGCCCAGAGAGAATCCACAAGCAAGTGGCGTCACTCCACTTGCTTTCGGCATCTCTTGGAATCCACTTGAATCCGCTCTGAAAGCCCTTCTGGGGCCTCTTCGGGCCTGCTTGGGCCTACCCTGGGGCTTCAGGCGGGTCTTAGGCGGCGCCTGGGAGCGCTCCGAGAGGGCTCCAAGTGGGCCGGAGAGAATCCAAAAGCAAGTGGAGTGACGCCACTTGTTTCTGGTCTCTCCTTTAAGCCTCTCGGGGCCCTCTCGGATCTACTCTTGGGCTCCAGGGAGGAGTCAAGCGGGCTCCTGAGAGCCTCCAACAGGGCCCCAAGTGCACCCCAAGAGGGCCCAAAAAGGAAGTGGCGTCACTCCGCTCGCTTTGGGGCTCCCTTGGAATCCACTTGAAGCTGCTCTGAAAGCCCTTCTGGGGCCTCTTCGGGCCTGCTTGGGCCTACCCTGGGGCTTCAGGCAGGTCTTAGGCGGCGCCTGGGAGCGCTCCGAGAGGGCCCCAAGTGGGCCCGGAGAGAATCCAAAAGCAAGTGGAGTGACGCCACTTGTTTCTGGACTCTCCTTTAAGCCTCTCGGGGCCCTCTCGGAGCTACTCTTGGGCTCCAGGGAGGAGTCAAGCGGGCTCCTGAGAGCCTCCAACAGGGCCCCAAGTGCACCCCAAGAAGGCCCAAAAAGGAAGTGGCGTCACTCCGCTTGCTTTGGGGCTGTGTCGGAATGCACTTTCAAGCCGTCTTCGAGGCCTCCGTGTGGTCTCGTGGGGCCCGCTCCTGCCTACCCTGCGGCTTCAAGCGGGACTGAGGCGCCCTCCAGGAGCGCTCGGAGAGCGCCCCAAGTGCCCCCAGTGGGCCCGGAGAGAATCCACAAGCAAGGGGCGTCACTCCACTTGCTTTCGGCCTCTCTTGGAATCCACTCGAAGCCGCTCTGAAAGCCCTTCTGGGGCCTCTTCGGGCCTGCCTGCTGCAGTGAACGTTGGGGGTTGGGTTACAAGTTCATGGGCCTGTCGAAGGTGGACTTGCGCTATGGGCCACTTCGGAAGAAGGACTCGCGCCGCCCTCGGCAGTGCGCGAGCAGAAGGACAAGTACAAGGCTGCCGTCCTGGCGAGCCTGGCGTCGCGGCTCTGGACACCGCCGAGGTCAACAAGGCCGCCGCCGGCCTTGGCAGCTCGGTGGAGTCGGGCAGCCGCCCGCCGTGCGGCAGGCCCTCAGGATGGCAAGGGGGAGCAGGCCTACTAGGAGAAGGAGGAGGAGATGCACCTCGCGCAGAAGGAGCTCGTGAGCTTCGCGAGCGAGGTGGAGAAGCAGACGGAGAAGGGCCAGAGCTCCGTCCGCAGATGGCGGTGCCTGCGTCCAAGCTGCCGCCACGCCAACTTTGGCTTCAGGGCGGAGTGCCAGAAGTGCAGCACGCTGGCCTCTGCGCGGGTCTTGGCCCTACACGACCAGCAGCAGGAGGAGAAGGCCCTGGAAATAGAGGTGGAGCAGCGAGCCCTGAAGGAGCTCAAGACCACGCTCTGGGAGCGCAACAGGATGCTCCACGAGGAGAGGCTGTCGCTCGCGGAGGACAAGAGGATGCTACTGGAGGCGCGGAAGTAGATGGAGGAGAGGGTGAAGGAGACGGTGAAGGATCAGCAGTCGTACCTGGATCGGATGCTCGCCGACACGCCGCACTACCAGGGCAAGCTGAAGGAGCTGGGCACTGCACGCGCTGCAACGACGGGACGGAGTCGTTCGCCAAGCGTTCTGCGTCGAAAAAAACGCTGGGCGCGTCCTCTCCCGCGACGGGCCACACCTGCAGCGAGCAGTGCTTCATAGAGGACTACGATGAGAGCGATGCTGTGTCGGACGTAGAGTTCGATGGCGACGCTCACCCTCGCATGCTGGAGCAACTGCTCCGCTTCCAAGACCGGTTCTTCAAGGCTTGGGCGGCGGAGATCAGCAGCAAGCAGGGCGTTCTCAAGAAGGACGGGAAGGACAAGAAGGGCCTTGAGTGTGGACCTCGCCGCAAGGCGAGGGCCACGGAGAAGCCCCAGGCGGCGGCTGAGGTGCCCTCGACCCCCACCCAGGAGATGCTCAACGAGATGGGCATGCGGCTGCTAGGCCTTCTTGGCAGCGACAAGCCCTCGGAAGTCAAGGCGGCGGCGCTGCTGCAGACCGCTGAGCGCCTGGGCGTCCCCGTCGGGGAATTCCAGGGCGTGAGCGGCAGGGGCAAGTTGGTGCGGCTGGCGTTTCCTCGTCGCCTCGCGGGCTCTGCCTCGAATTCTGGCCCGCGTCTCGGTGGCGACGTGGGCGTTGTGCTCGGGGTCTGGCTTCCTCGTCGCCTCGCTGGACCCCGCTCGACGTCGGGCATTTGCTCGGCAACCGCGTCGCGGCGTTGGTCCACGGCGCTTTGGCCAGCGCGCCAGCGTCCAGAGACACGGACGGAATCATCAGCCCCCTATGAACCCTCCTCCTCCTCCTCCTCCTCCTCCTCCTCCTCCTCCTCCTCCTCCTCCTCCTCCACCTCCTGTTCCTCCTCCATGACCCCCCCTTGGGGAATGACGGCTTCCCAGCCTTTATTACACTGCGTGCTGCTCCACACGCCTGAGCAGGGCAACTCGCTCGGGCATCGTTTCTGGCGAATTTCTGGTGAATCTCATCCACTCTTGGAGCCCTCTTCGGGTCTTCCTGAGAGCCTTTCTGGGGCCTCTGGGGGCCCTCTTGGACCATTTTGGGTTGTCTTGGGGCCATGTTGGGGGTCTAGGGCCGTCTTGGAGTCTGCTTTGGGCTCTCGTGGGCAGCTCTCGGGGCCCTCTTGAGGCTGCCTTGGGAGGCACTTGGAGCTCTGTTGGGCCGTCGTGAAACTCTCTCTTGGGCCGTCTTGGGGCGATCTTGGGCCGCCTTGGGGCTCTCTTGAACGCGTCTTGGGACGTGCTGGAGCGATCTGGGACAGCCCTGGAGCCGTCTGGAAGTGTTCGGGGCCTGGCACGGGGAGAACCCCAAGAATCGCTCAAAACCAAAAGGTGGCATCGATGAATTTGAACTCGTCGGGCCGCCATCTGGGTCATCCGAAGCCGTCTTGGGAGTTTCCTGGCTTGTTTGGGGGCCATCTTGGGCTGTTTTGGAGCTCGCCGGGGGTGCTCTTGGGCCGTCCAGGCGACCTCGTCAGCGCCACTGGCCTTCTGGCGGCCGTGCAGTGCCGTCTAGGGCCTCCCCGGGAGCGCCGCCGACCGTCTCAGACCGCCCGGGGATCGCTGGGAGCCACCCTGGGCCGAGCTCCGCCGGTGCAAATCTCACACGCCTGCTGATCGCAGCCTTGTAGTACAGATGACGTTGGCCTCAAGCTTCGCATCACGTATATTGCTGAAAAGCGCGAGCGCCTGCTGCCACTGCTCGCCCTTCTCGCACGCGCTGATCCCAGCGCTGCAGCTGACGACGTCGGGCTCTAGCTTCGCTGCAAAAATCTCGTTTAGAAGCGCCAGAGCCTGCTGCCACTGCTCGCCTTTCCCACAGGCGCTGATCCCAGCGTTGTAAGCAATCACGTCCGACTTTAGCTTCGCTTCCGACATATCCCTGAGCAACGAAAGAGCCCACTGCCACGGCCCGCCCTTCTCGCACGCGCTGATCCCGGCGCTGTAACTGACTAGGGCTAACCCTTGGACCCCGCCCATGTCAGCAAGCGTGTCCAGCGTGTGTTGTGGCTGCACGTTTTTGAGAATGCCTGCTGCTAGTGCTGCTTGCGAACAGATCGCCTGTTTGTATTGGAATGTTCCTTACTTGCTGCTTGGTTGCTTGGTGCTTGCTGGCTTGGTTGCCACTTACTTTTGACATGCTTGTTTGGTTGTTTTGCTCGCTGGCTTGGTTGCTGTTTGCTGATTGCTGCTTGCTGCTACTGCTTCCTCCTGCTTGCTGCCGAAAATGGGAATGTGGCTGTGGGAGGAAGCACCCTGGGCCGCCATGTGATAATCTTGAAGCGCCTTGGAGCCGCATCGAATCCAAGGCCGGAAATTAATAAGCGCATGTGCGCCTTAGTTCCCAACCATCTCCCATCGTCCGAGGAGGTCGGAGGAGGCGCGTGGGCTGCGTGGGCCCGGGCGAAGGCAGAAGGCACTGCAAAGCATGCCCCCTGTGGCCAGCGTGTCCGGAGTACTCTCCAGGAGAACACCCCGAAGGGTCGCCTATTCAGACTGGGGCCCGCTCCAGAGAAGGGAGGCGAAGATACGAATCGCATGGGCGCCCTAAAGTGGAGGCCAGCCCACAAGAAACCTTGCACAAGAAACCCAACCCTGAGACTCCTTGAAGTCCACTGATTTTTGGTGGGAAAGTCACGCTTTCCATGGCAAAACCATCGACACCCAAGACACCCAGGGCACCCTGGAGGCGACCAGGGTGTTTCTTGACATGGGTATCCACTGTATTCTCCTGGGTGGCCGAAGCTGACCGGCGTCTCCAAGGAATGATGGGCCTGTTTGCCACCACCACTGCCATAGGTAGGAGAGGGACGAGGAGGAGGAGGAGTAGGAGGCCGTAGCCATTTTGGCTCAAGTCCGTAGCCGTTTTGGCTCAGGACTGGAGCGAACTGGCGTGGGGCAGGTGCGCCCCCGCCCGCGATCCTGTCCCAGTCGCACTGGTTCAGACCTTTGTTTTGTGAACTCCTGTTGGAGCACCTCCCTTGAGGAGGGACGACGTAATCTCAGAGGTTTCCCAGGATTCGCCCCCTGGTTCTCGTCCGATGGCTCCTCCTGCTGCCGTTGCTGCGAAGCCACCATGGCGGAAGGCGATGCCCCCTGCCTGGGGGGGACAGTGGCGAGAATGGCGAGACATGGGCCCAGCAAAATAATGTACTGACTGCAGGGCAGACCCATGCAATACGTGCTGCCAGCAGGCTGACATGATAACGCGGGGCTACTAGACCCTCGCATTCTGCTGCGTGCTGCTGCTTGCTACCGCTGTTGCGTGCTGCTGGTCATGCTTGCCGCTGCTGTGTATCGTTGCTGCTGTCGCTGCAGGGTGCTCCCGATGGCCGAAGCGTGCTGCTGCCCGCCTCCTGCTGCTGTCCGTTGTCGCTGTGCTGTCGCTGTTGCTGCCTGCTTCGTGCTACGCGCTGCTGCCGGTCGCTGCTGCTGCTGCTGCTGCTGCTGCTGCTGCTGCTGCTGCTGCTGCTGCTGCTGCTGGCTGCTGCTGCTGCTGCTGCTGCTGCTGCTGCTGCTGCTGCTGCTGCTGCTGCTGCTGCTGCTGCTGCTGCTGCTGCTGCTGCTTGCTGATGCTGCTTGATGCTGCAACATGCTGTTTCTCGCTACTTCCGCTTATCGTGGCGCAGCCTGCTGTCAGGGAAGGGCCGAGGAGTCAGGACCGAGGCGATGCGAGATGCGATCAGCGAAGAGCGAGGAGCGAGAAGGGAGGGGCGACGGAAGAGAGAGGAGCGAGGAAGGAGGAGAGAGCGAGCCGAAGAGGGAGGAACCGGAAGGGCAGGGGACCTCTTGGGGGGGTCTTGGGGTCTCGTGGAGGAGGCCTCGCGGAATGTCTGTCGAAGGCCTCTCATGGGTCTCTTGGGGCCTTCTTTGGGCTTCCTTTGGCCCCCATAGGACCCTCCAAGCCTCCCAAGGCTACCAAGCCTTGGTTCCACTGGGAGCTGCTCGTGGGGAGCCCTTGGGACAACCGGCACCTTGGGGGCTGCCTTGGTACGCTCCTGAGCCACATTGACGCTGGGCAGGTCGTGGGCCGTCTTGGAGCCCCCGTGGGGCCGTCGTAGAGCTCTGTTGGGCCGTCTTGGGGTCCCCTCGGTGGCTTGCTCGGTCGTCTTGGGTCGATCTCGGGGGCTGCTTGGTTCGTCCCAGGCGCCCCGAGGCCCGACGAACACACTCGGTGTGCTAAAACCACGCGAGCGCAAAGGGAGTCTCCATGTGTTTTGCCCCTGGAGGCCCTCTCAAGGGTCCTGTTGGTGAGCGTGTTCGTATTCGGCGTTTCGACATTGGGCGGAGAGGGAGAGGAAGGGGGGGGTCTGGCTCCGGACCTCTGCTTAATGCGACTGTTTGCAGCAGTGCGTCCTCCACCTGCTCGAAACAAGCGCCCAAAACAACCAAGATCTACTCCATGGGGGAGGGGGGCAGGGCCCGCGCCAATCGGCCAAGCAATGAACAAGAAAGCCATCACTTGGAGGCGCATGAGGGCTTGTCGGGGGCCTCTCGGGACACCTTGGACCTCCAATGGGGTGTCCGTCGGCTCTGTGAGAGCTCTCTGGGGCCGCCTCGGAGCCCTCGTGGGCGGTCCGGCGCGTCTCGTGGGCCGTCTTGGAGACATCCTGGAGCACTCCAGGGCCGTCTCAGAGCGCCCCCGCAGCACCCGGGGGCGCGCCCAGGCCAGCAGGGCCGCTTCGTGGCCACTTGAGCACCCGCCTCGCACGTACAGATGACGTTGGATCTCAGCTTCGCCTCCCACATCTCCGCCTCCTCCTCCTCCGCCTCCTCCTCCTCCTCCTCCTCCTCCTCCTCCTCCTCCTCCTCCTCCTCCTCCTCCGCAACAGCAACCGCAACGCCCAGAATTGTACTACAGATGACGTTGGGTTTCAGCTTCGCCTCCCACATGTCTCTGAGCAGCGCCAGAGCCCGCAGCCACTGGTCGCCCTTCTGGCACGCGCTAATCCCAGCGCTGTAGGTGACCAGTGTGGGCACGTGGGGAATCCACGGCAGGCATGCAGTCCGAAACTAGCGGCCAGGATGAAGCTCCATCCTGTTGGCCATCGTGGGCGTCCGAGTATGTTGGAGTCTGGAGGGGGCGCTCGAAGGGCGGCAGACTTCATATGATGTTCGGATGGGGACTCCGAAGTGTCTGCACGTCCCCCCCCGCCACCCCCAAACAGCGGAGTGGAGGACCCACAGTGGCTGGAGCTGGAAGGAGGAGGAGGAGGAGGAGGAAGAAGAAGAAGAGAAGAGAAGAGAAGAGAAGAGAAGAGAAGAGAAGAGAAGAGAAGAGAAGAGAAGAGAAGAGAAGAGAAGAGAAGAGAAGAGAAGAGAAGATAAGAGAAGAGAAGAGAAGAGAAGAGAAGAGAAGAGAAGAGAAGAGAGAAGAGAAGAGAAGAGAGAGAGAAGAGAAGAGAAGAGAAGAGAAGAGAAGAGAAGAGAAGAGAGAAGAGAAGAGAAGAGAAGAGAAGAGAAGAGAAGAGAAGAGAAGAGAAGAGAAGAGAAGAGAAGAGAAGAGAAGAGAAGAAGAGAAGAGAAGAGAAGAGAAGAGAAGAGAAGAGAAGAGAAGAGAAGAGAAGAGAAGAGAAGAGAAGAGAAGAGAAGAGAAGAGAAGAGAAGAGAAGAGAAGAGAAGAGATGAGAAGAGAAGAGAAGCGAAGAGAAGAGAAGATAAGAGAAGAGAAGAGAAGAGAAGCGAAGCGAAGAGAATAGAAGAGAAGAGAAGAGCAGAGAAGAGAAGAGAAGAGAAGAGAAGAGAGGAGAACAGTGAGAGGGGTGTATGGGGCCTTGTTTTGCTAAAGGTGACAGGGCTGGATGCTCTATTGAGAGCTCCTTGGACACATCGGACTTTCTTGGGAGGCTTTGGGGCATCTGGGAGTGGTCTGGAGCCTTCCTTAAGGTCTGGGGCGTCCTGTAGGGCTTCTGGGGGACCAAGAAGAAAGGGGGAAAGGTGCTGGGGCTGGACGCTGCCTTCCAATGTCCTGGGAGGATCTGCGCGATCTCGGAGTCGTCCAGGGAGGAATCTCGTGGTCGCGGGGCTGTCTTTGGGGCCACCCAAGACTCTACAATGGAACTCCCCCCTGTAACATCTAATCCGCCTTATTGGGGGGGGAGCCAGATGCTGGTCCCCGCAGTGTCTGCAGGTCCCCCCTCCTTGTCACCCCTGATCGGCCGTAGAGGGGGAGCGACCGAAGCGGCTGCATGTCCCCCCTGTCACCCCTAGCTGGCGGAGTGGAGGCCCCAGAGCGGCCAGAACTCCGATGAAGGAAGGAGGAAGGGTTCAGATGAGAAGGCCTCCCCCCCGTCACCCCTAATCGGCCGTAGTGGGGGGTCTTGAGGGCGACTCTGGGCCATCTCGGCGAGGTCCTGGGACCGCTCTTGGGAGATCCGTGGGAACCATGGGAGGCTCTCCCTGGGACCGCTCTTGGGAGCTCCGTGTGAACTGTCGGAGACCCTGGGCAAGCGTCGGAGACTTGTGGGCGACTCTGGGGCATCTCGGAGTATCTCGGAGTGGTCCTGGGACCGCTCTGTGGAGCTCCGTTGGGAATATCGGAGTCTCATGGGGGGGCTCTGGGGCATCTCGGAGTGGTCTGGGGCCTGCCTTAGGGGTTTGGGGCTTGCTTGGGGGGCGTGAGGGGTGCGAGAGGCGGTGAAAAGGCGCCGTGGCTCGAGGCACTCTCCTTGGGTGTTGGGCAGCTCCTAGGGCCCTCTTGGGGCTGTCTTGGGGGCCACCAGGCGCTCTATGAGGCTGTCCTGAGCTTCTCTTGAGCAACCTTCGGGCCCTCTGGGGCCGTCTTGGGGCACTTGGTGGGGCCGTCTGGACCGTCCTGGGGCGATCTGAGATGGCCCTGGAGCTGCCTGGGGCCGCTCTTAGCCCGAAATGGCGAGAACATGGAAAACATGCGGAAACCGAAAGCCAATATATGAGTATGACCTCGGGTAGCCGTCATCGGGGTCGGTTCGGCCGTTTTCGGAGGCGCCTGGCACGTCGTCGGGCTGTATTGTGTCCCGTTCGGGTTCTCTTCGGCCGTCCTCGCGCGCTCCAGAGCGTCTCAGTGCTCTATCTTGGGACTGTCCGAAGCCGTCTCGGGGCCACTTCGAGACTCTCTGGAGCAGTCGGAGAGCGCTGGGGTGCTCAAGGCGCTCGGGGACAGCTCGCGACCTTTCGCCCCTTTCGCACGCGCAACGTCCAGATCTGCAGTACAGACTCGTGTCAACCCGTGGAACATCCACGGCTGGCAGGTCGAGGTGCTGGTCCGACGCGCACGTGCCGTCGATCGCAGGCGACACGAGCGCGTTCGGGACCGACAAGCTCCCAGGTTTACTGAAGGCTCCGGGCTCGGGGGCTGGAGGCTGCCTGCACGTGTCCTGGGAGGGAGGGTCCGGGCTGTCTCGGAGCGGTCCCTCGTGGCATCGACGGCTGCAGGAAGCCCGTAGTCCAGAGGAGGAGGCCGAGGCAGAGAAGGAAAGAGGAGGTCCCCCTTCGGCGGGAGGGGGCTCGGGACTGGGGTGTCCTCGTTGGCCATCTGGGGCCCCCTTGGGCTGTTCTACGGCCCCCTGGGGCCTTCTGGTGCCCCTTGCTTGCAATAGCTCGTGAAGCTCTCTTAGGCCATAATGCGACCCCCCTTGGGCCACATTGGGGCCCTCTGGGGCCGGTCCCAGGGGCCTCCAAGGCTGTAGTGGGGCCATGGTGGGGGTCGGGGGGTCTGGGGCCGTGTTGGAGCTTGCTTGAAATTGTATCCCTCTTGGGCAGCTCCGGGAGCGCGTCGGGGGGTCAGCTGAAGCTCTATCAGGCCGTCTGGGGCCGGTCTTGGAGGGGGTGGGGGCCCTCGTATAGGCCGTCTTGGCGCGCTCGTCGGGGCCTCGTGGGTACTCTTGGGCGGTCGTGGAAGTGCCTGGAGCCGCGCGGAGCCGTTCCGGGCCAATGCGCAAAACCATTGATTTTTGGCCTCGTCGGGCCGGCTTCGGAGTCCTCCTTGGCCCGCTTGGGGCCGTCCCGGGAGCCCAGCGTGGGCCCTCTCGTGCGGCTCCCCAAACCCACGATTGGGAGGCCCCAGGAGCCCTGCAGGGCGCTCCAGGCGCTACCAGTCCGTTCCAGGGCCGCTTCGGCTCCTCCTCCTCCTCCGCCTCCTCCTCCTCCTCCTCCTCCTCCTCCTCCACCTCCTCCTGCTCCTCCACCTCCTCCTCCTTTCCGAAACCGCAGCGCCAAGAATTGTAGTACAGATGACGTCGGGAGTCAGCTTCGCCTCCCACATGTCGCGTAACAGCCCCAAAGCCCGCTGCCACTGCTCGCCCTTCTCGCACGCGCTGATCCCAGCGTTGTAGCTGACTGCAACATAGTAGAGACTTGTGTGTACCTATGGTGTCATCACCGCTATCGACGTTGAGGGGGGCAGTGCTTGTAGGGCGTGCCTCCACAAGCAAGTGGCGTCACTCCACTCGCTTTGGGCCTGCTTGGGCCTACCCTGGGGCTTCAGGCGGGACTTAGACGACGCCTGGTATCGCTCCGAGAGGGCCCCAAGTGGGCCCAGAGAGAATCCAAAAGCAAGTGGAGTGACGCCACTTGCTTCTGGGCTGTCTTGGAGTCCTTTCGAAGCTCTCTGGGGGGTCCCCCCGTGAAGCATCCCAGGGCCGTCTCGGAGCTACTCTGGGGCCCCAAGCAGAAGTCAGCCGAGCTCCTGGGAGGCTCCAACAGGGCAGCAAGTGCACCCCAAGAGGCCCCCAAAAGGAAATAGCGTCAGTCCACTTGCTTTTGGGCTCTCTCGGAATGCACTTCAAGCCGTCTTCGAAGCCTCATTGTGGTCTCGTGGGGCCCGCTCCTGCCTACCCTGCGGCGTCAGGCGGGACTCGGCCGGCCTATGGGAGCGCTCGGAGCTCCGAGCGCTCCCAGAGGCCGGCTGAGCCCCGAGCGCTCCAGGTGGACCCGCCCTCGAGGGAATCTGCGAAGCAACCATGCCTTCCTCTAAGGATCCCTCCCCCTGCCCCTGCCCCCCTCGGCGCGCCGACGAATCGTGGCCATCGTCAAATCGTGGACGGCCCCCGCGAACCGGCGATGACCCGCACATATGGACCACGACCAAAGCTGGCGTCGGCGAGACTCCGCGGCGGCAGGGTGGGGGAAGTGGGGGGTGGGGGTGGGGGGGGGAGTGGAGGCACGTGGAGGAGGGGGGGGGAGGGCAAAGAGAATTGAGCAGGGACCGACCGACCTGGCATTCCGGAGGCCTACCACGACATGTCCTTAGAACCCACAAATGTTCTGAACAAAAACCATGTTCTTAGAACATGAACCCGATGTGTTAAACCAAGACAGTCCCAGCCAGAAATGTTCCAAGAACATTTCGTTGAAAGCACAAAAGGCTCTCAGAAAACTCTTCGATGGGCCTACAGGCGGGCCAGGACGCGTCGCCACTGCTTGAGAGAAGAGGGGGGAGCTCTTGGCCCTGAACGTGTCGTCGGGCTCCGGGAGCCCGCAGCGGGCTCCTACAGGGGCCGTCGCAGGGCGGCTCGGGGCGAGAAGCCGGTCTATATATATATATATATATATATATATATACACACACACAATATGTGTGTGTGCAAAATGCCGTTGACGGCAACACCACACCGCTCACCCTCCGGATCTTCGCCTCCGGCTCCTGTCCAAGGCGTTCCTTTTCCTGTGCAAGCTCCTCGGCACCGCCTGCACCCCGGCCCGCCTCCGGCCGCCTGAGGCCCCGCCCGCCTGTGCTCTGTCTCCCCAATTAGAGCTTTGCGTAGCCCGCCTAGCTTTTAACCGGAAGAGGCTCGCTCTCGACCCGCAGACCAAAAAAGTGTGTGCGAAATGCGCTGTCAAGACCTCCAGGGCCGACGCATCCACCAGCCCAGACCACCGACGCCACGATTCTTTCACGACGCCGACCCCCAGGGAGGTTTCGACCCGTTCCCCGGGACCGGTTCTTCGTCCCCGGCCGTTCTTCGACGTTCCCGAGGCCCGGGAGGGGCCCCCAAAGGCCGACAATGTCAAGAAACCTCCCGTCACGATTGTTTCATTACTCGAGGGGGGTCTGGGAGGTCGGAGCGGCCGGATGTCTGGGTCCAGGGTCGCTGGGGCCCGCGGGCCCGAACTATCTGGCGGTGGCCTCCCGCCGCCCGCGGCCTGCCGCGGGGGCCGTGTTCGGATCCCCGCGGAGCCCCCCCGCTCCAATTTCTTGCGCCGATTTTTCGTTGCCGTCGTCGTCATCGTCATCGTCGTCGTCGTCGTCGCCGTCGTCGTCGCCGCTGCCGCCGCCGCCGCCGCCGCCGTCGCCGTCGCCGTTGCCGCCGCCGCCGCCGAGGGCCTCGCGCCACGATGGCTGCTGGCCCAACGCGGCGATCTGCGACGTCCAGGCGCGCAAGGCCGGCTGGGCGGCCCCGGCCAGAAGAAAACAGAACGCCATAAACATGAGCTTTCGGAGGTCCGTGCGGATTTCTTCGATCGACGCTGGATCTCCCTCCCCGGCGCGCGGAGCGCGCCAGGGGCGGCGCCGGAGGCGCCGCCCGGAACCCTCTGGCGCTGCAAGGAGACGCTCTAGGGGGCATTTTGGGGCCAGTCGCGGGGCCCTTTCGCCCAGCATTCTGATATACCTGGCGTCGGGCTCAAGCTTTTCACTCCGCAGCCCGCTCAGCAAAGCCAGAGCCCACTGCCACTGCTTGCCTTTCTCGCACGCGCTGATCCCAGCGTTGTAGCTGACTAAGGCTGACCCGTGGACTCCGTCCACGACATCTTTCTGGAATGCTTCTCGGAGGAACGGCGGAGATGTTGCCGAAAACCCACAAGCACGACGGCGGGCCAGGGCGGAGGCAGCGAGACCGTGCATTCGTGTCCGAGCTGTTCCAGCGCTCCATCAGCATGGCCCCGGCGTGCGGTTCGCTCGCCCCCCTCCTACTGAGGGTAGTGTTGAATTCTCTCGGGGATGTGCGTCGAAGTCGAAGCTCATCCGAAGCGTCTAGGAGCGGCCGGGGAAGGGCTCTGGAGGCCCTCGGGGGAACACACCAGGAGCGCCGGGGAGGCTCGAAAGGATCTCCAAGGAGGCCCAAGAGAGCTTCAAGAGGGTGCGACATTCACAAACCCAGCGGTTGCTTGGGCACAAATGGGCCCGGACAAGTTCTGAACAGACCGCCCCCCTGGGACAAATGTTCAGAAATTGTCCAGGGCCACCCCGCTCCACCTTCGCAGTGCACGACGCTGCTGCTCGGGATCCGCGCTGGCACACTGACTTGGCATCGTCGTTGTGATCGCGGTCGTCGACTCAGTCGCGTCGTCGTCGTCATCTCCGTTGTCGCCAGCGACATCGCCCTCCTCCTCTTCCTCCTGCTCTTCCGGCGCCTGTTTCGACGTAGCGCATGAAGGAGCAGATCTCGTGGCCTTGAGGGTCGGCACGTGCATGTGACGAAAACCACTGACTCCGGAACGGAGCGCGCAGCAGCGGTGGGCCTCGATGAGCTTCCTTGTTTGGTCTCCTGCTGGTGCTGCTTGTTTGACGTGTGCTTGCTTGCTGCTGGCGGTAAGCGCTGTTTTCCGCTACCGCTAGTGCTTCGGAGCCTCGGCGTTCAGAACCTTGGGTGTTCGCTCTTGAAGTCTTCACGTTAGCGCTTGGGGGCCTCGGCGTTGAGAGCTTTGGGTGCGTCACCGTTGAATCTTGAAGTCTCCACGTTCAGAGGGTCGTACGTCAGCTGGACCCTGGTGGGGCTCTCTTCGGGGTTTTCTGGGGCCTCCTCCTCCTCGTCCTTCTCATCCTCCCCCATCCTCCTCCTCCTCCTCCTCCTCCTCATCCTCCTCCTCGTCCTCGTCCTCCTCCTCCTTGTCCTCATCGTCCTCCTCCTCCGCTGTCCATGGATCGATCGCCGATCGTGGACGCTATGACGATGCTCCCCAGAAGGCGAGGATCCAAGGCCCTCGGAGCGTCCACAGCGGCTCTTCTGGGTCTGCGATCTGCGTCTCGCCTATCGTCCGACCCCCTCTCACGGAGGCAAGTTCGAAGCCACTTAGGGCGTCATGGGGGCCAGCTGTTTGGGATCTGCGATATGCCTCGTGCGTCTCGTTCGCCCTCCCTCTTGGAGGCAATTTTGAAGTCACTGATTTTTTCTTGGGGGCCTGTTGGGGGACTTTGGGGGGTCCTGTTCGGCTTCCTGGCGGCCTATTGGGGCCCTCCTGGGCCGTCTTGTGTGCCTGTTGGGCCGTCTTGGGGCCGTCTTGGGCTGTCTTGGGCGCCTCTTGGGCCGCCTAGGGGCCGTCTTGGACCGCTCTTTGGGCTGTCTTGGGTGCCTCTTGGGTCGTCTTGGGCGCCTCTTGGAAGGTCCTGGTGCCGACTTGGATCGTCTTGGAGCCCTCACGGTTGCACCTTGGGGCGATCTTGGGGGCTGGTCTGGCCGTCGTGGGCGCATCGGAGACGAGAAGCACAAGAATGCCCGAAACGTACGTTTTCCGAAGGACATGTGGCGATTGCTGCCTCTTGGGGCTCTCTTTGGGGTCCTCCAGGGCCGTCTTGGGAGCCCCCTGCTCTCGAGCGGGTCGGAGCCGTATCGGGGCCGTCGGGGCGGTCTCTTGAGCGTCTGGGGCGCCGTCACAAGCGGCTCGTGGCCGTCGGGGACTCCATTGATCCAGAAACCCTTCTCACACGCAGCGTCCCCGGCATTGTAGGAGAAACTAGGACTGACCCTACAAAATCTGAAAGAACTGGCACGTGATTGTGGACATGATGCCGAAAGGCTGAAATCACAACGTGAGTTTCTTGGAACCTGATGTGGGCCTCTTGAAGGGACTTCGGCAGCGTCTGGGGGGCCTCTTGGAGGCCAGCTGGCAGTTTCTGGGATCATCCCGGAGCGGAGGGCGCGAAAGGTCAGTTCGAGGACCCCGTGGGGCCCTCTTGGAGCCGTCTTGGGCCGTTTGGAGGGCCTCTTGGGCCGTCGTGGGGCCCTGTTGGTCTTTTCGAAAGCTCTCTTGGGGGGCCTCGTGGGCCATCTTGGCGCGGGGCGGGCTTGGGGCGTGGAGGCTCCGAAGAGGCGAGAAGATGAGACCCGTTTCTCTGCTGCAGGGGAGGGGAGAAAATGAAAGGCGCACGGGCGCCTTGTTCTCCTGGACGGCTGGCGCGGTCCAAGAGCTCTCTGAAGGACCTTTCCTCGGAAGCCCCTTGGGGGCGATGTCGGGAGTGTGTTGTGGCCTCCCGAGGGTCTCTTAGGACATGAATTGGGCCTCTTCGGGGGCCTTCTGGGGCGTGTCGTGGGCTGTCTTCGGGGTACCTCTGAGGCCGTCTGGACACCATCTTGGGCCATCTTGGGGCAATCCTCGGCCGTATTGGAGGCATCGTCGGCGAACTTGGAGGCCTCTCTCCTGGCCTGCCCTCCCAGCGCTCCACCTTGGCTGGGCCACGATTGGCGCCCTCCACGCGCTGCTCCCGCAATGATAATATAGACTACGACTGGCCCGTGGACTACGTCCAAAAAATCTGAACAAACTGGCATGTGATTGCGGACATGCTGCCGAAAGGCTACAATTATCAGAGTGAGGGGGCCGAACGGTCATTCATTGTCGCTGGGTGCGTGGCTGAAGTGAGAATCCGAGGTGAGGATCATGCTTGTTGCGATGTTGTTGTTGTTGTTGGTGGTGGTGGTGGTGTTGTTGCTGGTGTTGTTGTTGTGGTTGTGGTTGTTGTGGTTGTTGTGTTGTTGTTGTTGGTGGTGGTGGTGTTGTTATTGTGATTGGTGTTGGTGTTGTTGTTGGTGCTGTTGTGATTGATGTTGGTGTTGTTGGTGGTGTTGGTGCTGTTGTTGGTGGTGGTGGTGTTGGTGCTGCTGTTGTTGTTGGTGTTGGTGGTGGTGGTGGTGGTGGTGTTGTTATTGCTGCTGTTAATGTTGCTATGTGTTGTCGTCGTCCCCCTCGCGACCCACCCGCGACCCACCCCGCGACCCACCCCGCGACCCACCCCGTGACCCACCCCGCGACCCACCCCGCGACCCAACCCGCGACCCAACCCGCGACCCCCCCGCGACCCACCCCGCGACCCACCCGCGACCCAACCCGCGACCCACCCGCGACCCACCCCGCGACCCACCCGCGACCCACCCGCGACCCACCCGCGACCCACATGCGACCACCCGCGACCCACCCGCGACCGATCCACATTGGTTTGAAGAAAAAATGGGCGCCTGCGGCGGGCTCGTTGTATAATGTGTGGAACTTTGGCGCCTGCGGCAGGCTTTTCCAGCGTCTCGCAGACTGCCGACGTCCCCACCGGCCCCTCACTCTTATGTGCAAATATACACATAATACGGGGCAGCACACTTTCATTCCGCGCATGTTATTGTGTAGTTGTTGGTTGCTGCCGGTGTTGCGTGCTGTTGATAATGATTGCCGCTGCTGCATGTTGTTACTGCTTGTGGCTGCAGGGTGCTGATGATGGCCAGGTTTGCGTTTTGGGCACTCGCGGACAAGGGGGGCGAGAAGGGAGTAGAGAGAGTCGAAGAGGGAGGAGGCGGAAGGGTAAGGGATCTCCTGGGGGTCTCCTGGAGCCTCGTGAGGGAAGGCCTCTCGGAATGTCTCTTGAAGGCATGCCTCTTCGGGGTCTCTGGGGCCCTCTTTGGGGTTCCTTTGGCTACCAGGGGCCCTCCCAGGCTTCCCAGAGCCAACGGGGCGGCCCTTTTTGGCTACAAGGAGCCGTGTCAGGCAGTCCGGGGACAATCGGCGCCTTGGGGCTATCTTGATACGTCTCCGGGCCGCCCTGGGCCTGTCTCGGGGCCACATCTGTAGCTGATGACGCTCGGTTCCAGCCCCGCCTCCGACATCTCGCTCAGCAGCGCCAGAGCCCGCAGCCACTGCTCACACTTCTCGCACGCGCTGATCCCAGCAGTGTAGCTGACTAGGGCTGGCACGTAGACTCCGTCCACGTCAACCAGCGTGTCCAGCGCGTATTTGTTGCTGCGTACTGTTTAGACTGTGAAAAATGTGCCTGCTTGTTGTTTGTCGCCGCCAGCGTTGTTTGCGGGCAATGTGCCTGCTTGTAGTTGCTCTTTGCTCGGTTGCTTGCTTACTTGCTTGCTTGCTTGCTTGCTTGCTTGCTGGCTAGCTGGCTGGCTTGCGTGCCGCTCGCTGCTTGCTGGCTTGCGTGCTGCTTGCTCATGCTGCTGCTTACTGTTGCTGCTGCTAATACTGGTCGCTACCGCTTGCCGCCGAAAACTGTAATGGGGTCTCCTCGTGCCTTCTTTGAGACTTGCTGGGCTACCTTGGAGCCTGGCTTGGCCTACTGGGGGTAAGGGGCCTGTTGGAGGGGGCGTCTTGGGCCGCATTGGGGCAAAAACTGGAAATTGAAAAGTACGTGTGCACCTTATTTTCCAACGATGTTCCATCGTGGCTGTGAAGGCGCGTGGGCTGCGCAGGCCCGGAAGAAGACAGAAGGCATTGCGGAGCATGCCCCCAGAGGCCAGCGGGTTCGGAGCACTCTCATGAAGAACTCCCCGACGGGTCGCCCGTTCAGATCGGGGCCGCTACAAAGAAGGGCGGAAAATAAGAAGCGCATGAGCGCCGCCTACATGCTTCAAACACCCATGGAAAGCAATGACTTGGCCCTCGTCTGACCGTCCTCGGGGTCCTCTTGGGCTGTCGTTGGAACCTCCTGGCCTGTCGTCGGGCGCTTTCGGGCCGTCCAGCGGCGCTTCTCGGATCCTCTGGAGCCGTTTTGAAGCCGTCTTTCGCGGGGGGTGGAGGGAGGGGGGAGGGCTTCTTAGAAGGAGGCTGCTTCTTAGAAGGCGCCGGTCTCACATCTATAGATAAGGCCCGCGCCTTCTAAGCAGCAGGGGTGCTTCGAAGAAGCCCCCCCCCCCCCCCCCCCCCCCACCCCCCTCTGCGCGTGGCTGACGTCTTGGGCCGCCCTGGCGCCATCTCTGAGGCTCTCTGGACCCTTGCCGGACGAGGCCCTCCAGATGCGCCCAGAAGCTCTTGCCGTCCATCGGCCACCAGACCCTGCTCGCACGAGCTTGCCCCGGAAGTGTAGAGATGACGAATGAAAAACCCGTGGAAAATCCACGGCCAGAATGCTGCTGGCCATGGTGGGCGTCGTGAATGGCTTGGTCGAGAAGATGCTGCGGAAAGTTCGGGGAGGCGCTGGAGGAGGGGGAGGAGGGTGGACCCCGAGTGGTTGGACGAGCATGTGGAAGCCCAGGGGTGCCGAGAAGTGATCGCGCGTGCAGGGAGGGGGGCGGGAGCGTGTGCGCGAAGAGAAGAGGAGCAAAAGGAGGAGATGGAGAGCGGCATAAGAGGGTGAGAGGGGTGTAGGCTCCCGGAGGCAGAGTAGGATGAGGAGAAGGAGGAGGAGAAGGAGGAGAAGAGAAGAGAAGAGAAGAGAAGAGAAGAGAAGAGAAGAGAAGAGAAGAGAAGAGAAGAGAAGAGAAGAGAAGAGAAGAGAAGAGAAGAGAAGCGAAGAGTAGAGAGGAGAAGAGAAGAGAAGAGAAGAGAAGAGAAGAGAAGAGAAGCGAAGAGTAGAGAGGAGAAGAGAAGAGAAGAGAAGAGAAGAGAAGAGAAGAGAAGAGAAGAGAAGAGAAGGGAAGAGAAGAGAAGAGTATAGAGGAGAAGAGAAGAGAAGAGAAGAGAAGAGAAGAGAAGAGAAGCGGAGAGGAGAGGAGAGGAGAGGAGAGGAGAGAAGAGAAGAGAACATAAGAGAAGATAATGACCGAGAAAAGAGTCACCCCTGATCGACCGTAGGGAGGGCGAAGCTTGTCTGGGTGTGCAGGGAGAATAGGTGAGGGGAGGAAGGCGATCAGAAGGAGAAGGAGGAGGAGGAGGAGAGAGAGGGGTGTGGAGACACCCCGAGGGGAGGAGGAGCAGGAGGAGGAGGGGAAAGAAAAGAGAGGAAAACGTTGCGAGAGACTCTCTGGGGCCACTGAAGATCCAGAACTGGCGGCATGTGCTGGGGCTGGAGGCTCTCTTGGCTGCTCCGTGGCAGCCTATCGGAATCTCTTGGGGGGCTTTGGGGCATCTAGGAATGGTCTGAGGCCTGCTGTGTGATCTGGGGTTTTCTTTGGGGCTTCCGTGTCGCCCATCCTGACCGGCCGCAGGGACGGGCGGAGGCGTTCAGGTTTGTGGAAGGAGGAGGGCGGACGAGGGTGAGTAGATAGAAGGCGAGCAGAAGAAGAAGAAGGAGAGAGACATCAGAGAGCGGGGGGTGGAGGCTCCCAGAGGAGGAGGAAGAGGAGAAGGAGGAGGAGAACAGGAGGAGGAGCAGGCGGAGGAGGAGGAGGAGGTGGAGGGGGAGGAGGAGGAGGGAGAGGTGGAGGAGGAGGAGGGGAAGGGGGAGGAGAAGGAGGAGGAGGAGGAGGAGAAGGAGGAGAGGAGGAGGAGGAGAGGAGGAGGAGGAGGAGGAGGAGGAGGAGGAGGAGGAAGAGGAGAAGGAGGAGGAGAAGGAGAGGAGGAGGAGGAGGAGGAGAGAGGGGGAGGAGGAGGAGGAGGAGGAGGAGGAGGAGGAGGAGGAGGAGGAGGAGGAGGAGGAGGAGGAGGACGGGAGGAGGAGGAGGAAGAGGACGAGGAGGAAGAGGAGGAAGAGGAGGAGGAGGGAGGAGAAGGAGGAGGAGGAGGATTAGAGCTGGATTACAGCTGGTCTAACGGTGAGCAATGCCCCATGGATTTACTACCGCGGCTTTCCTGGCCGCTTCGGGCCGTCCCCAAGCCGAAACCAGGAAACTTGAAACTGCCCACGAAGGCCTACCTTCAAATGGGTTTTTTCGTGGTGGGGCGTTTAATTACCGTCCCACAAACGCTTTACCCTACCCCCGGTCACCCTTTGGGACCCAGGTTGACATTGGGAGAGCAGGCCCGTCCACCTGTCGCGGGCGCACCTGGCACACCTACGAGAAACACGAAACTTGATTGGAACACCAACTGGTGCCCAGCACTCCTCGCTGTATCGACTCTGACTTCCCCCCAGTCCAGAGCGGCCCGAGAGAAGGGGGATGCCGTCGGGGGCGGTGGGAGGCACAATCTTGCGTGACGATGCTCCCCGGGGCTGCCCCGAGGGGGCACCGGGGCACCCTCCTCCACGCCTCCAGGCGCCCCAGGAGACCCAAGGTCCAGGACGTCGACGGCGCGGGGGTTCGAGTCCATGGCCAGACTTGAGCCCAGCTCAGTGTCGAAAATATTCCCCAATCGGAACTTGCTTCTGTAGGGGTCCTATGGGATTCGCATGGTTAGGTTAGGTTTGTCGCCGATCTTCGCTGCACGCCCGGGTGCCCGGGTGCCCGGGGGTGGCTGGGGCCCGGGTGCCCGGGGGGGTGCCCGGGGGTGCCCGGGTGCCCAGGTGCCTGGGTGCCCGGGTGCCCTGGCGTGCCCGGGGGTGCCCGGGGGTGCCCTATAGCCCTATATATAGCCTATAGCCCTATAGCCCTATAGCCCTATAGCCCTATAGCCCTATAGCCCTATAGCCCTACAGCCCTATAGGCCTATAGCCCTATAGCCCTATAGCCCTATAGCCCTATAGCCCTATAGCCCTACAAATCTGAACCCTATAGCTCTGTAGCCCTATAGCTCTATAGCCCTATAGCCCTATAGCCCCCTAGCCCTGAAGCCCTGATTGGGGTTTTTATCCGGTAACATCTCTACGGAGCACTCCTACATGGGCCCCACATTCGAGAATGTCACTGACGAGCTTGTATTCCATTATGTACGCATCTCTACAACAAGTGGGCATGGAACATGGCTCCCTGTTTCGCGAATTTATCAGCGAGACGCTCTCCGCCTCACCTCGAGAGGCCTATGCGCTGCCGTTCGGCCCTCGTGGCGCGGGCCTTCACCTTGCAGAAAGAAACCGCCCTCGGGCCGATGCCACCGATGACGTCGACAGCGGCCCAGATATTGTCCCACATGTCTTGGTGCTTCAGGCTCCTTCGATCCAGCGCCTGCGGCCCCTTGTAGGCCGTCCAGTACGTTCTGGCAGTCCGTGAAGACACGCAGCGGCGGCGCGGCAACTTCGATCGCCTGCAGCACCGCGTGCAATTCAGCTCGTAGAATACTCCGTGTCCACTGCGGCCCTGGCAAATGCCCGAAGCAAGCGCACTCCAGCTCGAGGTCGTCATCAATGCGGATGAATCCCCAGCCTGCTCGCCGCAGCGGTGCGAAGTCGCCGAACTGCAACAACCTGTCGGTGTAGATGTCACCCGTCGCTAAGCCGCGGCACTCACCTTCGGTGAGCCACGCGCCCCTTGACTCGAGGTTCCACTGGTTCAGCTCCTCCGCAAGGTCGCTGGTGACACCGCGCCCCAACAATGCCTCGGCCCCTGGTCCAGGCCAAGGGCTTGCTCCACGTTGAACGACGCGTCGGCCTCCAACTCGCTCTCGATGTGCATGTCGAGCTGGACAAACAAAAGTACGGTGACGATCTGTACCTGCCGCCGTCCAGCACGCTCTGCAAATGTCATCTGGCGACGCCCCTTTTCGCGTGGAGGCGCGCCTGTGGCCATGATCCGCCGCAGAACAGGACTTGTATTCTTGCGCGGTGAGCTCGTGTCCAGCGCCCGCGCAGTGGCCTCCTTAGCAGCGCCCTCACGGGCTCGATGAAGATGGAGCCGATGCCGTGGATCTGGCCCCCCTGCTGCACCTACCCGTCCTTCAGCTGCTTCTCCGTCGCCGTGCGCACGAGGTGGCACAGCTCCTGCAGCAACGCGTAGCGCAGGTCGCACACCTGCCCGTCGACCGCGATGCCGCGGGCGGCTTGCGTCATCAAGCCGAGCCGCCTCGCCGCTCCAGCAGGGCCACGCACAATATGCCAGAGCACCTTGCTCTTAGCCACCATCATGACCCACGTCCCCCATACGCTTTGCAGCCGCTCCATTAGCTGATCGTCTCCTGCCACGCGGTCGCCCAGGCGATGATGGGCTTCCTTTTCACGAGACATCCTGGATCCACGTCGTCGCTCAGCAGCGTGAGGTTGGTGGACCTGCCCTTGGCGCAGCCTGGCATGGCGATGGCCTTGCTCGTCCGCAGCTCCTGCAGCTTGGAGTCCGCCATGCCCGCCGTCGCCGAGCCGTAGAACAGCGCTGGCACCTTGGCATGGCGCACCAGTTTCTGCGTTGCTCCTCCTGCCCTTCGCACTGCTGCAATCCGCGACTGCCTCGCCGCAAACTTCAGCGCGCTTATGGATGGCCCCAACTCGGCGTCCCCTGCCAGCCGCCGAGGTCGCTCCGAGGTGCTTCTCGTGCGTGACGACGCGCGCCCCCAGGCGTCTGGAGCTCGCGTTGATGATGTCGCCCAGTGCGGTGTTGGAGGTCAGGGCGGCCGTCTTGCCCTCCGCGCCGCGCAAGACTGCCATGTCCAGCCTCACTTCGAACATGTAGATCACCGCCGCGATGAACTTGGGGTGAAAGTCCTGGGCGAACTCCCTGAGGCCGTGCCGGGCCATGGCGAGGTCGTCGAAGAATCAGCAGGTGTCCAATCAGGGAAACCGGTAGACCAGATCGCCCAGCTCCAGGATGATCACCATCTTGAGGCAGAACGGCGCGCAGCGGCTGCCGGCCACGATGCCCCGCTGCCACGCCTTGCCCGTCGCGTAGCACCCGTCGAGGACGATGCGCCGCACCATGCTGTAGATCCTCAGGACGACTAGCATGATGATGGGGTCGAAGCCCCACCGCCTCGCCGCCGCCCAAACTTTCTCGCGAGTGACCCACTCAAAGGTCGAAGTTGGTCACCGCGTACTCGTAGCCGTCGGCTTGCGCTGCCTCGCAGCACAGCGCCTGGAGCCAGGCTGCGCGCTCCGAAGAGCGCCCGCGCCGAGCCCAGTCATAGGCTCTCTCGTTGGCCGCCTCCCAGCGCCTGGCGCACGGGATGCGGATGGTCCCCCGCACGCGTCTCGGTCGGCTTGAGCGGCACCCAGGGCACGGGCGGCTTGGCCCACTTGTGGATGGCCCCTGCCCCCCCCCACCCCCCACCCCCCCTAGCTGTGCTTGATCGCCCAGCGCCGCCAGCCTTGCGCCGCTGGCCGTCGCACTCGTCGCCAAGTGTGGTTGCTGGCCACCACCAGCAGCTTGGCGACGCACTCCGTGTAGTCGACGCCCTGGGTGCCGACCTTCTTCACGCCAATCCAGGCGACGGTGCTGACCAGGTTGGCCCAGTCCACCGCCTGCCACGTCTGCCACTGCCCCGGCGAAGGGCGGCGCTCTCTCGCCGCTTCCGCCTCCGCCAACGGGCAGTCCTGCTCGACCGTAAGGTCGGGGACAGCAGTGGTCCGAGGAGTGGTCTCTTCGGGGGGGCCTGCAGCCTCCTCGACTCGGCGCGTGGCCATGTTGGTGGTGAACGTGCATTTGGAATGTTGCGGATACTCCGTCTGGTTCGAATCAGTCGAAATGGTGGCGTCGATGTGGTTCGCCTCGGCGTCGCCCTCGACACTCTCGCACCCGTCGTTTTCTACCTCGTGCTCGACTCCATCGCTCCACGCAGGCGGGTGTTTCTCCAGCAGCGGCGTGCCAATGGTCTTGTCGAGAACTCCGTTTGCATTATGTTCGGCCCAACTGATCGTCTCGGCCTTCCCGCTTTGCCACCAGCTCCGCACCGCCCCTGCCACCTGCTGAAGGCGTCGGCTGGGCCACACGGCTGCATCTGCCCACGGTTGCTCGCGCGTGGCCTCGGCAACCTTCGGCGGCTTGAGCTTGCCCCAGTAGTAGGCGGGGATCTGCTGGTGGCCCTGGCGCCCGCGCAGCTCCATGCCCTCGAAGTTGTGGTGGCCGCTGGGGTGCCCCTCGCAGGTCGTCGCCAACTTGTTCCAGTAGTCGTCGATATCCGCCTGGCTGTGGCACCGCTGTGGGAGCGGTCTCGGCCAGGTGGTCGGCCCCGACGCACCGCCAACAACGCTGAAGTGGACGTAGAACTCGGGTCCATCTGTCGGACTGCGCCATGTTGGTCAGCCTCCAGCAGACGGGCGGGCGCGGCGCAGCGTTGTAGTTCCCCTGGGCCGTCGCGAAGATGGGCTTGTCCACCAGCTCCGTCACCACGACGGAGTAGTCCCTGGCGCGCGCCCCCCCCTGCCGAGACGCGCGAGCCAAGCCGATGGTCGAACACGATGATCCCGTTCACCCTGTTGAGCACCCCCGACTGCACGATTTCATCGAGGCCCACGTTAAAGCCCCCCTCCCCGGAGAGCCAGCAGCGCCCAGCAGCCTGGGCAGCGCTGGCGAAGTTCCTCAGGATGCGCTTGCTCCTCTCGGCCATGCCTTGATTGACCCAGAGGCATGCCGAGCCGACCGCGATCCCGTGCTCGGCGACCGCGTCGACCCACCCGATGGCGAGTCGACCCTGAGACTCAGGCGGGGAGATGTCCCAGGAATTGCCGACACCTCTCGCGTGCGTCATGCCCCTGCCCGTGACCGTGCCAATGAGGACGCCCGCGATCACGCCGCCGATCTCCCCCACGCTGGGAACGATGCCGAGCCTCCCGCCCTGCTTCTGCACCCCCTGCGCGAAGACCGAAATAGCGTGGTCAGTGGCCTGCGGCCCCTACGCCAAAATCACTGGCGGCGCGCTGCTGCAGTACCGTATGTGCGCCATCTCCCGCTCTAGCGTGCGAATGGGACTCGCGCTGGCGGTGTAGAACTCCTGCCCGCTGGAAGCTTCGTCGGGAAGACGACCTCCCCGTCCACGTGGATTTGGAGACGCCGAGGCTATGGCCAGGGCCCATGGCGTTGACGAGAGACACGACACTGCCAGCATGACGCTCCACCTGATCAGCTGTGCAGCCCCCGCCTGACTTGATCTGCTTGACCTGGTCCAGGGTGGAGCCCGCTGGGAAGTCGAGCAGCTCGTGTTTGGTCTCCTCTTCCGCGCGCCGCTTGCTGCAGCGCCCCTTGCCGTTCTTTGCTTCTCCACGTTCTCGCTCTGCTGCCGCTTCCTTATCTGCCGCTGCCTTCACCTCTGCCTCTGCTGCTGCTTTTGCCGTGCGCTTGACATCTGCCTTCTTCTGGCTGGTGGCGTGGTTGAGCGCGTCCTGCAGTTTCGGATCCAGTGGGGTTCGGTCTCGCCCTCGCAAGCACTTGGCGGCATGCTCGAGGAACGCGACCGCGGCTCCCCATCCCTGTCCAGGCTTTTGCACACTGAGCTCGTCGATGCGCACATGCAGCTTGGCCAACCGTTCGTTGTGCTTGGCCACAATCGCTTTCTCCTTCTCCAGCTTCTCCTGGGCCTCAGGGAGTGCCTTCTCCTACTCGGCCACGCGCTCCTGAGCGCGATCCCTCTGGTTCTCGCACTAGTTTTTTCTCGCGCACAACCTTGCACTCCGAGAAACACCGCGGTACTTCGCTGTCTGCGTCGACAGTCGCCCGCAACTCATCCACCTGCTGCTGCACCAAGTGGATGTTGTCCGCCACCAGCGGGGCGAGGTCTGGGTCCTCGGCCTGCTTCCGCATCTCCTGGAGGTGTCCTCTGAGCTTGCGGAGCTTAGCCTTGGCGGCGTCCTCGCTCTCCGTGGGGGCGGTGCTCGTGGCCGTGCTGGCGGCGCCTCCTGACGTCGCGCCGTCCTTTGCGCCCCAGCACTTCCAGCAGAAATCGTAGCCTGCCCCGTTCTTCGACTTACAAGCGGTGCAAGTCCACCCATGACGCGATTGGGTGTGTGGGGCCATCCAGCCCGCAAGCGCAGTGCCACTTCGAAGTTGGCGCTCGCTGACACCGCGCGCCGCCTCTCTGCAGGCAAAAGGCGGGCTCGGCGCGAAATAGCTGAGGAGAAGGAGGAGCAGGAGGAGGAGGAGGAGGAGGAGGAGGAGGAGGAGAAGGAGGAGGAGGAGGAGGAGGAGGAGAGAGGGAAGCGGGGAGAGGAGCTCTCTGGGGCCCTGTTTGGGGTCTGGAGCGTTCTTTAGGGCTACTATCGTGGAGGTGCCCCCATGTCACACCTAGTCGGCCAGATTGGGGGTGGCCCAAGTTTGCTGGTACACGCAGGGGAGGGAGGGGGGGGGGCAGGAGAAGCTGAGGGGAGGGAAGTGAGGAGGATGAGGAGGATGAGGAGGAGGAGGAGGAGGTGGTGGAGAGGAGGAGGAGGAGGAGGAGGAGGAACGCATGAGGAGGAGCAGGAGGAGGAGGAGGAGGAGGAGGGGAACGGCACTGGAGAGAGGCGTGGCGGCACCCCGAGGACGAGGAGGAGCAGGAGGAGGAAGAAGAAGAGAGGAGGGGAGAACAAGGAGAGGAGCGTTGTTTGGGGTTCGAGGTCTTCCTTGGGGCCACTGGAGGAGCCAGAAGCGGCGAAAGGCACTGGGGCTCGAAGCTCTCTCCTGGGAGCTCCTCGGCAACTAATCCGAGTCTCCTCGGGGCCTCTCCGGCAATCTTCGGACGATCTTGGGAGGACCCGGAGCCGTGTGTGCCCGTTCTGGGCCCGTCACATACAAAAGAAAACCTTGAAGCTCAAATAAGCTGCGTGATGTTTGGCCTCGCGGGGCCATCATCGGGTTCCCCGTGGGCCATCTATGGAGCCTCCTGGCCGGTTGTCGGGCCTCCTTGGGCCGCCATGAGGTTCGCTTCGGGTCCTCTTGGGCCGTCCTGCCGCCCTCGTCTGGGGCCGTCTGGGGACGCCTTGGGGCCATCGCGGGACCCTCCGTAGCTGTCGCGGTGCGCCCGGACGCGCACTAGGATCTCGAGCTGCTCGCCCCTCCTCGCTCGCGCCGCGACCAGAAAGTGCATCGCAGATGACGTCGGGCTCCAGCGTCGCCTCCCGCATCTCGCGCAGCAGCGCCAGAGCCCGCTGCCACTGCTCGCCCTTCCCGCACGCGCTAACCCCAGCGTTGTAGCTGAGAATCCAGGGCAATGTTTAGCACATGGGATCTTAAAAACCTGGGATTTGTAAGACATGGGTAATTTATGACTAAACTGATGCATGAACTCATCGTTGTCTTTAATACTGAAACCTTGCCTTTTGAATACATGATCCGCACGCGGAGCATGTATTGAAAACGGCACTGTACTGTGCGCCCGTGGAGAAGGTACACGGGGGGCGGGTCGAAGTGTGGCCCCCCCCCCGAGCGCGCAGACGTCGCCGCCGCGAGCAGAAGAAGAGGGGGGAGGGCGACGCCAGAGAGACGGGGTGCAGGCTCCCAGATCCCAGAGGCAGAGGGAGGAGGAGGAAGCAATGACCCTGCGACGCACCCAGCACATCTACTACTTGCATCAAGTGGCAAGAGGGGACGGCCCACGTTTGCCAGGACAATGACAGTGTAGGCGCCGAGATCTGATGTTGTGCCAGCTACACAGGGCGCGCTCACTTGGCACGGTTCACAGGACAACAACAGAAGGACGACGAGCGAGGGCCCAGGCTTGAGGAGGACATGGGGGCGGGAACGAAGGGCGGGAAAAAGACGCGCGGGGGACCGAACCGTCAGCGCGGCAGCAACAGGGGGAAGGTGGCAGGGGGCAGAGGGCGACGACGAAAGCGACGGGAGGAGACCGAAGAAGGTTGGTTTGTCGGTAGTGCGCTAAAGATGCAGCGCTGCCTGTGCCATGACGCCGCGGCACTCGACAAAATGATTAAACCTGCGTCATGCTCGTGCAAGGAGCGGGCGAGGCCTAGCTCAACCGCCCGTTTCCCTGCTCCCTTCCCAGCCCTCGACAGCGCCCCGCGGGACCCCCCAGCAGCCCTCGCACATGGCGACAATGCCGCAGATCGCAGCCCCCCCAGGGATGGCGAGGTCTAATCTGAGCCTGAGTGGTGCTTCACTTCGCTGAAACTCCCAGCACACCTCGAAAGCGGCAACAGCTTCGCAGATCACAGCCCCCAAGGATGGCGAGGTCTAGTCTAAGTCTGGGCGGTGCCTCGCTCCACTGGACCCCCCAGCAGCCCTCGAAAGTGGCGACAGCTTCGCAGATCGCAGCCCCCCAGGGATGGCGAGGTCAAATCTGAGTCCGCGAAGGACCTCGCTCCTCTGGACCCCCCAGCAGCCCTCGAAAGTGGCGACCGCTTCGCAGATCGCAGCCCCCCAGGATGGCGAGGTCGAATCTGAGTCTGCGTGGTTCCCCACTCCACTAACCCTCCCAGCAGCCCTCGAAAGAGGCGACAGCTTCGCAGGTCGCAGACCCCAGGGATGACGAGGTCGAATCTGAATCTGCACGGGACCCCACTCCGCTGACCCTCCCAGCAGCCCTCGAAAGTGGCGACAGAGTCGCAGATCGCAGCCCCCCAAGGCTGACGAGGTCTCATCTGAGTCTGCTTGGGGCCCCACTCCGCTGCCCCCCCCCCCCCCAGCAGCCCTCGCACATGGCGGCAATTTCGCAGATCGCAGCCCCCCAGGGATGGGTGCTTCACTCCGCTGAAACCCCCAGCAAACCTCGAAAGCGGTAACAGCTTCGCAGATCGCAGACCCCCAGGGATGACGAGGTCGAATCTAAGTCTGCGTGGGACCCCACTCCGCTGCCCCTCCCAGCAGCCCTCGAAAATGTCGACAGCTTCGCAGATCGCAAGCCCCCAGGGATGACGAGGTCAAATCTGAATCTGCGTGGTTCCCCACTCCACTAACCCTCCCAGCAGCCCTCGAAAATGGCGACGGCTTCGTAGATCGCAGCCCCCCAGGGATGACGAGGTCGAATCTGAATATGCGTGGGAACCCACTCCGCTGATCCCCCCAGCAGCCCTCGAAAGAGGCGACAGCTTCGCAGGTCGCAGACCCCCAGGGATGGCCAGGTAGGAGGCAAGCTGGCACGCAGGAAGGAGCGATGTGAGAGGCAGGAGAGAAGGGGAGAGGGGGCGGGAGGAGGTGTGCGACCGCAATGCTCTATTCAAAACGATAACCCAACGCAGGAGGGTTGGGGGACAAAAACAAAGAGAAGAGCTCTCTGGGGCATCGTTTGGGGTCTGGGGCTTTCTTTGAGGTGCGTCGTAGAGGTCTCCCCTGTCTCCCCCATCGCCACATGAAGGGGGGTGGGGGGTGCGAGGCTTGCTGGTGTCCAGGGAGGAGGAGGACGAACAAACAAGCAGGGAGAAGAGCTCTCTGGGGCATCGTTTGGGGTCTGGGGCTTTCTTTGAGGTGCGTCGTGGAGGTCTCTCATGTCACCCCCATCGCCCCATGGAGGGGGGGGCAGGCCTGCTGGTGTCCAGGGAGCAGAGGAGACGAGGGAGAGGGGAAAGAAGGCGAGCAGAAGGAAGACAGCGACTCCGGAGCAAGGGGTGCGGAGGCACCAAAGAAGAGGAGGAGGAGGAGGAGGAGGAGGAGGAGGAGGAGGAGGAGGGAGGAGGAGGAGGAGGAGGAGGAGGAGGAGGAGGAGGAGGAGGGGGGAGGGGGAGGGGGGGAGGGGGGAGGGGAGGGGGAGGGGGAAGGAGGGAGGAGAGAGGAGGAGGAGGAGGAGGAGGAAGAAAAAGGGAAGAGGAGAAGAAGAGAAGAGAGGGGAGAGGAGCTTTCTTGAGCGTGTTTGGGCTTCGGGGTTTCCTCTGGGGCTTCGGGTGATCCAGAAACAGCAAAAGGTACCCGGGCTTGAGGCTATCGCGGGAGCTCCTTGGCAACTGTCTAGGAGAGGCATGGGACCTGTGTGGGGTCTTGGACTTCTTCTGGGGCTTCCGGAAATTCAGGCAAGGCGAAATGTGCTGGGGCTGGAGGCTCTCTTGGAAGCTTCTTGGCAACGGTCGTAGTCTGTTGAGAGGCTCTAGCGCACCTCGGGCTATCCCTTCTTGAACAGCTCTTGGAGCCCTCTTGGGCAATAATGGCGCCCTCTTGGGCCATTTGGGGGCCCTCTTGGGCCTTTTGGGGGGCCTCTTGGGTCATCTTAGGGCCACGGTAGGGCCGCCTGGGTACCCGGTGTGGGCCCTCTTGGGCAGCGCCTCTGGCGTCTTGGAAGGCCACCTGAAGCTCTATGAGGCCCTATGGACCCTGTTGAAGGCCAGCTTGGGTCCTCTGGGGCCGTCTTGGTGCGCTCGTCGGGGCATCTTGGGCCATCTTGGGGCGATCGTAAAAGTGCCGGAAGCCGCGTGGGGCCGTTCTGGGCCCGTCATTGGGAAAGCATTGGCAAAACATAGGAACCATCAAATTTCGACTTGATGTGTGTCCTCGTGGGGCCGTCATCGGGGTCCCCGTGGGCCCTCTTAAGCCGTGCTGGAGGCGTTTTGGGCCGTCTGGGGGCTGGGTGTAAGCCCTTTCGGGCAGCTCCTGGGCGTTTTGGGGGGTCAGTTCAAGCTCTATCCGGCTCTCTGAAAGTGTTCTGCGCCGTTTTGGTAGGTTCGTGAGGCTCTCTTGGCCATCTCGCTGCGACGCTGCGACCTTGGATAACGTTGCAACATCGATTGTTGTTATCTGCGTTTTCGCATCATGGGGCCGTCACTAGGGTCCTCGTGGGCCCTGTGGGGCCGTCCCGGGGGCCTTGTGGGCCATCTCGGGGCCAGGATATGGATCTGGGGCCGTCTGGGAGCCCGGTGCGGGCCCTGTTGGGCAGCTCCTCAGGCGTCTTGGGAAGCCACGTCTCGCTCTGCTGGGCTCTCCGAGGCCTCTGGGCAGTTTCGGGGCCCTCGTTTCGGTACGCCCGTGAGGGCCTCTTGGGCCATCTCGGTGCGGGGCCGTTCTGAGCCCGCCAGGGGACGAACGTGCAAAATCTGAGAAAACAGAATGCTGTTGCATGTTTTCTCTGCTCGTGGAGCCGCCATCGGGGCCATCGCGGGCAGTCTCTGGGGCCTCCCGGCGAGCCTCTGGGCCACGGCGCCCTCCGAAGCGTCGCAGAGCTTCCTCGGGGCTGTCCGGGGCCGTCTCCGGGCTGCTTGGCGACCCTCTGAGCCAGTCGGAGGGCGTCCAGGGAGCGCTCTGGGCGCTCGTGGGCGCCCGTGGGCGTTTTTCTGCGGAGCGTACCTCGAACACGCGCCGCGACTGCAGGTGTGGTACACCTGAGGTTGGGCTCCAGCTTCGCCTCCCGCACCTCGCCCAGCAGTGCCAGAGCCCGATGCCACTGCTCGCCCTTCTCGCACGCGCTGATCAAAGCGCTGTAGCTGATGACGTCCGGCTCCGGCCCCGCCTCCCGCATGTCGCTGAGCAGCGCCAGCGCCCCCTGCCACTGCTCGCCCTTCTCGCACGCGCTGATCCCAGCGCTGTAGCTGAATAGGGCGAACCCGTGGACTTCGTCCACGTCATCTTGGGCCAGTCTTGGCTCAAAAAGGCCGTCTTGGGCCTGTCTTCGCTCGAAATGGCGAGAAGGTGGAAATCTTTCAGAAACCATAGAAGAATCCATGATTTCGCTTGCCGCGGCTCGTCTGGAGCGTCTTCGAGCGGTCTTGGGCCGTCTCGGAGGCCCTCTTGGACCGCTTTCTTCTCTTCGTCTGCCTTCCGCTCTACCTCCGCCTAGACAGCCTTCGGAGCGTCACAGACGGCGATGGTGGGTCTGCGGTGTACGTCTCGCCGCTTGTCAATTTTGAAAGCACCTGGGGCCTTGAAAAAAGTCACCCGGAGGGCTCTGGTGACTTTTTTCCGGTTGTCTCTTCGAAGCCTGACGGCGGGCGCTGCCGTCTCCTTGGGAACGGTTAGTGGGCCTCACACGGGGTTTCTTTTCGAGCTCCTGGGGGCCTGTTGTGGGGCCTCATTGGCTGTCTTGCGGCCTCCTAGGGGCCTCTTGGGGCCCTCTTGGGCCGTCTTGCGGCCTCCTGAGGACCTTTTCTCTTGAAGATTTTTGGGGCGCCTCTGAGGCCGTTCCCGGACTGTCCCCCCGAGCCTCTTCCGGGGGACAGCCCAGGAAATCTATTGTGCTTGCGTGCTGTGTGTGCGTGCTCCTGTGTGAGAGGTCGGAAGGGTGTCCCGACATCACCGCTCGCTCGTGGGAGCTGTGCCTGGGAGAGCTCTCTACGCTGCGTCTCGCTCTTGGGAGCCTTGGTGAGAAGAGCTTTCTTTTAGTGGGCGTCTCTGGGCCTGCTCGGTGGTCCTTGTGGGAGTCTTTTTCGGGCCATTCTGAAGTTTTTTTGGGCTGCTCTGGGAGCGTTTTGGAACGTCTTGGGGCCATCTTGGGCCGTCACGGGGCGTCTGGGAGGCCTTGGACCGTTTTGGAGCTCTCCTGAGGCTGCCTGAGGCCGTCTTGGGAGCCTCTTGGGGCCCCCTCGGAGCTCTCTTGGGGCCGTCTTGGGGTTCTGTGAGGCCGTTTCAGGGCCCTCTGGCGTCGTCTTGGGGCTCTCGTGGGCCGTCTTGGAGCCCTCTTAGGGTCCGCTGGCGTCTTCTTGGGGCGACTTGGGAGGCTTCTTGGCGTGTCCTGGGCCGCTGAGGAGCACACACGGCGGCCATGCTCAAAATTACCTAACAGCGAAGACTGATAGGTTTCTAGTGGGATCAAAAGAGAGCAGCAGATCACTCCACAGGGGGGTCCGGGCAGGTGTTGGGAGTTGCCGGGCGGCAGGTGCCGGGCTCGTTTTTCACCAACAGTCACACACTTCGTGCTCTTCGACTTCCCAGAACTCCATTCCCAGGCCACATTCTCAATACCCGGATGCAACAGTCACACACTTCGTGCTCTTCGAGATCCCAGAACGCCATTCCCGGGCCACATTTAAAATAACCGGATGCAACAGTCACACACTTCGTGCTCTTCGAGTTCCCAGAACTCCATTCCCGGGCCACATTTGGAGGGCCGGATGCAACAGTCACACACTTCGTGCTCTTCGAGTTCCCAGAATTCCATTCCCGGGCCACATTTTGGATGCCCGGAGCCAACTGTAGGCCACTTCGTGCTCTTCGAGTTCCCAGAACTCCATTCCCGGGCCACATTTTGAATGCCCGGAGCCAACTGTAGGCCACTTCGTGCTCTTCGAGTTCCCAGAACTCCATTCCCGGGCCACATTTTGAATGCCCGTAGCCAACTGTAGGCAACTTCGTGCTCTTCGACTTCCCAGAACTCCCATTCCTGGGCCACATTTTCAGCAGGGGCAAGAGCACGACGAGGAGGAGGACGAGCAAGACCAGGAGGACGAGGACGAGCAGGAGCAGGACGAGGAGCAGGAGGAGCAGGAGAAGAAGGACGAGCAGGAGGAGGAGGAGGACGAGCAGGAGGAGGAGGACGACCAGGAGGAGGAGGACGACCAGGAAGAGGAGGAGGAGGAGGAGGAGGAGGGGGAGGAGTACCAGGAGGAGGAGGAGGAGGAGGAGGAGGAGGAGGAAGAGGAGGAGGAGGAGGAGGAGGACGAGGACGAGGAGGAGGAGGAGGAGGGGGGGGGAGAGTACCAGGAGGAGGAGAACGAGGACCACCAGGAGGAGGAGGAGGAGGAGGAGGAGGAGGAGGAGGAGGAGGAGGAGGACACCAGGAGGAGGAGGACGAGCAAGACGAGGAGGACGAGAACGAGGACGACCAGGAAGAGGAGGAGGAGGAGGGAGGAGGGGAGGGGGAGGACTACCAGGAGGAGGAGGAGGAGGAGGAGGAGAGGAGGAGGAGGACGAGGAGGAGGAGGAGGAGGACGAGGAGGAGGAGGGGGGGGGAGAGCACCAGGAGGAGGAGAACGAGGACCACCAGGAGGAGGAGGAGGAGGAGGAGGAGGAGGAGGAGAGAGCACCAGGAGGAGGAGGACGAGCAAGACGAGGAGGACGAGAACGAGGACGAGCAGGAGGAAAGGAGGAGGAGGAGGAGGAGGAGGAGGAGGAGCAGGAGAAAGAGGAGGAGGAGGAGGCAGGCTGAGGCTGAGGCTGTGACTGCGACTGCCGTTGCCGCTGCGACTGTCATCGCGAATGCGACTACGACTGCGAGAACAGCAGAATTCGACAACTGGATTTTCATCTGAATCTTAAGGGGAATGCTTTCAGATATGCTTCTACACATCGCTGTTAGGTTGCTTTGCCGGGATACTATATGTTTTCCCATCGGAATTTGACGATTTGTGCTTCTTTGGCGTGCGCTCGGGGCCCTCTTGGGGCGTCTTTGCAGCCTCTTGGATCGTCGTCGAGCCCCCCCCCCGGAAAGCTTCGGGCCCTCGTGGGCCGTCGCGGGACCCACTGAGGCCGTCTTGGGGCGCTCTTGGACGGTCTGGGAACCCCTCTGGAGCGCCTCTGGGACCGGCCTGAGCGATTCGGCCCCGTGGTGGCGCCGTAAAGGGGCGATTTTGTCCACTTGAGGCCGTGGGCTTCTCGCACGCGCTTCCACCGGCCATGTAGGAGAGACTAGTGTGAACTCGTGGATTGCATCCACGGTGTGCTGAACCTGGGACTCGCACACCGTGGGTGAACAGCTCGTCGAAGCTGAGCAGTGGGGCCGTGTCGGTGGCATGTTGGGTCCTCGCGCAAGCCTGTCTGGGGCGTCTTGAAGGCCTCCTGCGGCTTGGGGGCCTCTGGGGCCGGTCCCGGGCTGTCACCGGGGACAGCCCGGGAAACTCATTGCGCGTGCGTGCCGTGAGGTTGCTATCAGGAGGTCCCCCGTGTCACCCCAGAGGTTAGCTGAAGGGCTTGCTGCAGGCTCCAGGAGCCGGGGCTGGAGGCTGTCTTCGAATATCCTGGGGGGGGTCTGCGCCACATCGGAGGGGTCCAGGGAGGGATCTTGTGGTCTTGGGGCTGTCTTGGGGGCCACCGAGGGCTCTACTCGGCCGCAGGGGGGAAGCGAAATACTGGTCCACGCAGTGTCTGCGCAGGCCTCCCCCCCTGTCACTCCTAATCGGCCGTAGAGGGGCAGCGACCGAAGTGGCTACAGGGCCCCCCTGTCACCACTAACAGGCAGTGGAGGCCCCAGAGCGGCCGGAGCCTCGACGAGAGAAGGAGGAAAAGATCCGAGGAGAAGGTCCTCCCTGTCACCCCTAATCGGCCGTAGGTGGGGAGGTCTTGAGGGCGACTCTGGGCCATCTCGGAGTGGTCCTGGGATCGCTCTTGGGAGCTCCGTGGGAACTATGGGAGTCTGTTCTGGGACCGCTCTTGGGAGCTCCGTAGGAATTGACGGAGTCTCTTGGCAAGCGTCGGAATCTTGTGGGCGACTCTGGGGCATCTCGGAGTGGCCCTGGGACCGCTCTTGCGAGCTGTGTGGGGACTATCGGGGTCTCTTGTGCGGCTCTGGGGCATCTCGGAGTGGTCTGGGGCCTGCGTTGGGGCTCTGGGGCTGTCTTTGGGACATGTGGAGTTCGAGAGACGGCGAAAGGGTGCCGTGGCTTGAGACACTCTCTTTGGGAGCTCCGTGGGAACCACCGGAGTCTCTTGGGAGACTCTGGGGCATGTGGGAGTGGTCCTTGGAGGGTTTTTGGCCCATTGTGGGCTGCGGGAAGGGCGTCGTCTGGGCTCCCTTCGGCCTCTCTTCGAGCCCTCGTGGGGGTCTCTCCGAAGCATGTAGGGGCCTTTTGGCCCTTTTCGGAGCTTTCTGGGGCCGCCTCGGGGGGCTCTTGGGCCGTCCTGGGGCCATGCAGGGGGTCTTGGGCCGTCTTGGGCAGCTCCTGGGGCCCTCTTGGGCTGATCTTTAGGACCACCATGCGCTCTATGAGGCCGTCTTGGGCTTCTCCTGGGCAGTCTTCGGGCCCTCTGGGGCCGTCTTGGGGCATTTGGCGGGACCTCCTGGACCTTCTCTGGGGTGGCCCTGGAGCCGTCGGGGGCCGTTTTGGGGTTGGACGAGGTAGAGCATGGGACATCAGCCAACAAACTCTGTGAACAAATCAACTGTTGTAGCCTCGGGGGACCTTCATCGGGGTCTGGGTGGGCGGTCTTCGGAGGCAACTGGCCGGTCGACGGGCCGTCCTGGGCCGTCATGGAGCTCCGTCCGGGCTCTCTTTGGACGTCCTCGCGCCTTCTGGAGCGTCTCGGGGCGGTGTTCGAGCTGCCTGGGGCCATGGTGGAACCATCCGGGGGCTCTCTCGAGCCGTCAGAGAGCGGCGGGGCGCTCCGTGCGGTCGGGGGCAGCTGGCGCACTGCTGGCGCGACTCGCACGCGCAACGACCAGAACAGTAGTACAGATGACGTCGGGCTCCATTTTCGCCTCACACACCTCGCTCAGCAGCGCCAGAGCCCGCTGCCACTGCTCGCCTTTCCCGCACGCGCTGATCCCAGCGTTGTAGCTGACTAGGGCAGACCTGTGGACTCCGTCCACGACATCAGCTCGACGTGGCGAGGGGTCTCTGGGCAAGCGCGGGGGGGTGCGGCTGCAGGGCCGAA